AGAAAAGAAATCTACCATTAATCAACCAGTAGTACAACATTGCTTGAACTTAAAAACTCTTATTTTTTTTGAACAACGCAACGACTACATTAGTCGGAAAAGATGTCCCCGTCAGAGAATATGGAACAACAATTATTCTCTAACTCATTTCTATTCACAGTAATGGCCATTTTTCAATATCAATATTGTGACGTCCTTGTGACCTCCAATGTTTCAGTATCCGCCATAAAAGTCAGTGAATTTTTTAAATATTTTTAGAGCCCATCTATTTTTGTTGATTATGTTCTCATGAGCATCGCTCAGGAATTGTTGAATGACGTCACCACCTAACTTGTGACAAATCATGGGCATATGGTTATGACGTCGAAACCAAAGTCCTAATTCAAGAGCCTAGGAGAGCCAACACCAAATAAAGCACGCCAAGTTCGATCAGAAAAATTATTTCAGTTTTTACGTGAAATACGTGCTTATGAAGATATAAAGGCTGGAAGTTTCGCCCTCGGAATTCAGATGATTTTAAAAATTCAGAAACTTCTTCTTCTTACCTCAAAGCTGATTTCTGCAGATAACACGTGGTTCCAAGGACTTTATCAAGTAGTAAAAAAAAAGAATTATGGGCAAAAAAAATTAAAGGACAATAAAAAGACACTCTAGAAGAGGACGTCGAACTTGTTGATATAGTGTTATACTAGAAATTTCATTTTAGCCAGATAGATTGTCCAAGTTGAGTCTACTCTTGAGAACAACTGCATGGGTTCTCATATTCATCAGAATCATGGTAATCAATGATAAATTATGTTACTAGCGGTCAGGAAAAGTGGTCATGGAGGCGATGAAAGTTCATAGAGATTTTTATGTGGAAATGTAGATGCAGAAGATAAATTGAATGTTCATGAAAGGACAGTTATGACATTCTAAACGACATGCTCATCAAGTTGTGGTCAGTTGAGTTAGGTTAGGTCTAAAATGAGTGGATCTATTCGACCCTCCACCGCAACCCGTAAGGGTTTATTGTTCACACCTATTCACACTCGACCAAGTAAACCCAGCTTCTTAACAAAGCCGATTAGTTTGTATTGTGAGTGGTCTTTCAGGTCAGATGGTAAGAGTACGGCTCTGCCGAACTCTAAAAACCTGATTCGATCTCCAGTGGGGCAGGCACAAAGTATATGCTCTGCTGTTTCATCATTTTGCAGAGACGACACCACTGTCTTCCGACAATCCGAGTCTCTGCATATGATGATTCAAATGACAGAAACCGGTAAGAAGACCTGTTAGACATCGTAGTTCATCCGTACTGTAGTCCAAAAACTATTTGGTATCAAGCTTCGAAGGGTGAATAAACGTCTTGCAGTGAGCCAATCCTGGAATATTCTGCCAGCAGTCCATAAATCTTCTTGCCATCCAGGTGTTCAATGTTTGTTTGGCAAAGCCTAAAGCGATGCCAATGACAGGTTCTGGTCCGATGAAGCTGCTTGCAGCATCCTCCTTTGCAAGGGAGTCAGCAGCCTCATTGCCTTCCAGGCCACTATAGCCAGGAATCCAGACCAGAGACAATCTGTTAAGTCTTCCTATCGAGGAGAGTAATTTTTGGCAATTTGCTACCAATTTAGACGTTGCTCGGTAGGAGCCAAGAGCTTCCAACGCCACATGACACTGTCCGATAATATTTTCATTGACTTGTGTATGAGGTTGGATCCTTCCAATCTCTCTGGACACAATTCAATAGCGTAAATTTCCGCTTGAAATACAGTCGCATAGGTTCCTAGGCATGTATATATCTATGTCCTGGGTCTGCGACTAAAAACACCTGCACCAGAACCGGAAAGTGTTTTCGATCCATCTGTTAACCAACAACTATCTGCTCTTAATATTCCTTCTCCCGGAGAATCCAGTCCTCTCTACTAGGGAACAGTACTTTATAAGTCAGTTCGTAGTTGACAGTTGGAGGCATAAAGTCAGAGGTCCAGAATGCTGTAACTTCCAGTGTCAACCAAGAGTCTGTTGCACTCTGCATGAAAGTGATTTGTGCAACTGGCAATGTGCAAAAGTCTATATATGCAGTCCATTTAGCCTCTCTCTCTCTCTCCAGAAAAAATGTGGAGAGGAGGTTACTACTGACCAAAAAAAACTTCGAGAAATTATCATAAGGAAATAGTTTGTCGACGATTACTTGGGCTGTGCTGACACTATCGAAGAAGCCACCAATGTTATCACTGAGGTGAAGAGAATTCAAAGACTAGGAGTTTTCGCGTTGCAACGTACCTGGAATCAATTTCGTCACTTATAGTTTATAAAAAAATGTTTCACTTGGAACCTAACCTGAACAATTGAAATCAAGGCGATATTGGTGAGCTGAATTTAAACTAATCAACAATATCGCACTCCAATGGTAATTGAAGCAGAATGCACTGGTCAAGTCAATAAATTGAAGGATGCCATGAAACGGGAAATCCTCATAAATTGTACCCCAATCATAAAGTGAACGCTCGAATAGGATTGCCGAACGGCCTTATCTTCCTGAACATAACAATTTGAAAGTTTAATTACGGAGTTAACTACGGCTCTGTCCATTAAGGTCGTTCAATGAGATGTATGCGGGGAAGGTGTACTTTCGTTGGGGCATAAAAAATAATGGCGAGCTGGACTCCAGCTTTAATACCTATAGATCGACACTTATTGAAAGTGCCCATGTCGCTATGTTGCCAATAATGTTCCTCCGATTGGGGAAAATATTAGAACCCCGATATATCGATCAGTGACTATTTGAAAATTCATTTTATGGAATACTTCAATTGGGGGAAATATTAGAACCCCGATATATCGATCAGTGACTATTTGAAAATTCATTTTATGGAATACTTCAATTGGGGGAAATATTAGAACCCCGATATACTGATCAGTGACTATTTGAAAATTCATTTTATGGAATACTAACTGGTGCAATCACAATTATTGTAATTTTATCGTGAAACATAGTTCAAACCCGATTGTTATACTCTTCTTAACTTCTAATGGATGGTACAATTCGAATAATCAACTTTGATTATAAAACTATTTAGTTTTATAAAGATGAATATCATTGTCCATCCTGTCCTTTCCAGAAAGGTGAACAGGTCACTAGGAGACATCTCCTTTATATTGGCAGGTGTAGGCCAAGACTCGCCGAACACACACACACAACCTTGAGGTGTCTCACGGTGGCCTCCGCGAAGGTTTTAGAAGATGCAGCGACATTACTGTCGTTGCGCGGCTTCTTCAACCTTTTTAGGGTTCCCTCCGTGGAGGTGCACTAGTGAGGAAGGTTTCCTGCAGGGGCAGTCGGTTCCTGTGCCATTGACAAATAGCAAAACATTGGTTTGAAATTCAAGTCGGGAGACCACTGACAAAAATGTTGAAGAGCAGAGGGCCAGTTACGGATCCATGCGGAACACCACTTGTTGCTCGGTATAGAATCGACATCAATTCGTTCTACCTCTTTTTTGATAGAAAGAATTAGTATTGCTATTCAACGTGGCAATGCTGCTTCAGTACTTGGAACTATTCCTCCTTGACATAATTTTGATGAGATCATGCATTGCCCTAATTTCAGTACGGAACTGAAACCTCTTCGAAACAAGCCGAGATATTTGGATATTCATCAGTCTCCTATCAAGGTTAATTCACAAGTGATTGACCCACCTTCTTCTTGTTCATTGCGGTCAGTGGACTCAGGTCATTCTTGCCCCCCAAATATGAGTTGCAGTTCTCGTAGAACTGATTCCCTTTCAGTGGAAGAGCTTCATGAAGCAAGAGCCGAATCGAAATTAATTGATTAAGTGTTATGTGACTATAAGGTAAAGGTATTGCAAAGTTGTATAGCTCTTTCAATCCTTAACCAGTTGCACTACAACTTGAGAATGATTTTCTCACGGGAAATAATATAAAAAAGCGTCACGCATCGATTTTTTTTGCCCATTAGTCAACATTGGGGAACGTAATAATTATTACTCAAACTTGATTATGTGTCTCACAAATTTACTCAAATAGAGAAAAAACTGTTATTCTACAAAATATTAACCAAACTATATGAAATTCAAGAATATGGAACACGTATATGTCTAACAGTTTAAATGTCCCTACATCAAGACAAGCCAACTGATCCATTACGCAACACTATCAGTTCGGTCAAGGACAAAAATAAAGCCTTTAATATCCGCCGGTGTTTCGAGGATTCCATGTTTATGTGGCTCAGTTTACATCCGAACTACGAATCGCAGAATCGCACCACCAACCATGATATAATACTACAAGTGTAGCTGCCGCATTATGAAAGACACCCCTATGGCGATATCTGGTGAATAAATGGATTTTTACTTTCCTCAATTTCAATTTTTCACAGAGAAGGCCTACCGGTTGTCAAAATTGCTTTTTAGGAATTTTTTGTTGATCAAGAGGTAGAACGTTGAAATAATTTTTGAATTTATATCTAAATACATAAAATGACCACGAGTTGTGCTTTCGTTTGGGGGAAGTTCATAGAAAAGTTATTCAAATTCAAAGCCAAATTAAGTTCAAATAATGCTACTTCCAAATTTCAAATTTTTTGAAGGAAGATGAGAAAGATACAGTTCTTTCACTGTTAAGATCCACCTATATCGTTAGAAAAATACATGCGTCTTCCCTATCAATATGATAGACAAACTCACGTATTGATTATGAATAGACTAACTCGTTATTCATTTCTACCAAAGAAGCTACGGTGTGAGCGAAACGCCTCTAGAAATAAAATAATATGTGTAAATTGTTTAATTATTATCATGGATACACGTATTGATAATTATCAAGACAGACTATTTACTTGTATCTAGTTCGCCAAATCGACGCTGGAGAATGTATCGATTTGTTTGAATTCCATTAGTAAAAAGTATCCATTCAAAGCGAATACTGCCTATAGACCCCAAACTCTAGGTAAAAATTGATATTTGACATTGACAATCATCAATCGGAATCATCTCAAAAATGGTCACAGAACACTGGCACAGTATTCTGTGACGCTGTTAATCTGTGAGATTGACGAAAACGGTGTATACATAAAATAAATTTAAATTAATAATTACTAGATTGTTCTGAGATATTTTGATCGTTAATGGTGTATATCAATAGCTTAATCCAAATCTAGTTTACCATTTACTATCCTGCCAACGTCATTATATCTGTAATAGCTGACGGGAAAAGTCACAAAGTTTTTGTACGCTTGAAAAGTACTAGTCATTCCAGGCAAACATGGCTGACGACGTACCGGTAAATAGTAAAGAAAAGGATAAGAAACCCCAGAAAAAATCATCAGTTGGTGAAAAAGAATCTTCAAACAAAATAACAGTTAACATTAAAACTCCAAAAGAAAAAGAATCGTTTGTAGTGAGTGCTGATGCTTCAGTGAAAGACGTAAGTCCACCAACTTATTTCATTCATTATCTAGCCACTTCCAATTTATTTTCAGTTGAAGGAATTGATTAGAGAGAAGTTTCCCGCAGAACCTGATCAACTATGCCTTATTTTCGCTGGGAAGATCTTGAAAGATAATGATAGTCTGGCCCAACATAAAATTAAAGATGGACTCACTTTACATTTGGTTATCAGAGCAGCTCAGACTCCGAGAAATGCAGAAAGTTCATCTTCAGAAACTTCAGGTTAATATCTAGATTATGATTAAAAGGACAAATTTGGGGTCTATTGTTTAACATGATTTTGTTCATTATTCTTTTGCTTAAAAGTACATTACCTTGAAACCGTTTCAATTTGGTAATTGGGGAGAAGGAAATTTAATCATATTCAAAGATATGTAGAGACCAGTGACAGCATTTTTGGAAATGAACACCATAAACCAAAAATTTTGTGCAGAAATGATAATTAGGCACAGACCACAACACAATTGATAAAGTTAGATTAATTTTTCATTGTGCTTTCCTTATTATTTGTGCTGGTAATTTTACACTTATTATTTTTCATAAATTGCCTCCTTATTGTTTCAATGTAGAATACAAAAGACATTACTTTTTTTCCTAAATGAATGTTGAAATATGAAAAGCAAATGTACTGGCCTTCATGTTTAAATTTGGAGGTTAATACAAATAGAACTCGTGTTGCCTGAGTAAGTAACAGTACTGTTTGGTCTTTGGTCATGAACGCTTTGTTTGTGGGCTCTGCTTTGGTCTAGTTGCCTTGCAGAGAAAGACTGAAGACAAATCTTGTCTGGCAGTCAGCCTCATTTATATATGATACATGTCTTCTTAAGGGGGAGATGTCATTGCCTTCACTCTCTCAGGGTTATCCTTTAAGAACAATTGAGTTCAACATTGCATTCTTGCTTTTTGGGTTCTGGTTTCATCATGTCATAGGTGAAACAAACTATTTTTATTTAAAACATTTAAACATTTGAAAAAAAAGTACCCTTTTTAAAAAGCTTCATGCAATTCTGCAATTTTTATTGAAGAATAATATATATCAATTTGTTTCAACTCAGTGTAACTATGTATAACCAATTGCGAGGTCTATTTATATTTACTGTGTAATTTTAATTACAATTTTTTTGACTAATCCTTTAAGTGTCATTCTTTTTCACAACATTATGCTTGATCTTTTCAGGTGAATGCATGTTCATGTTTATATACAATGATAATGTTAAGTACAATGAAGAAATGTGCTGAATTTATCACTTTTGTTATGGTTTGTTTCTGACTCCTAGAATGTTTTGTTGAAAAATAGTGATTCAGAATAATTTCTGTACAATTTGTTTTAGTGGTGTCTCCCTTCTTTGGGTGTTCTAAAGCTTCCCTGAAAACTTCAACGAAATAGGCTATCACACCATATTTCACATCTTTACTTTGTTTTCAGTTTTTTTTGTTTCTGTATGACTACGTCTATCGTAATTGACATACTGATGATTGAAACTGTTTATTGTTTCGGGATTTTAGGCCGTTGTTGAAAATTCATCATGTTTTGCCAGTGAGACTGACTGGCATCTTCAGTGGTCCATATAATCACTTTCAATATTGAGGTACAGTGACATGCTTCTGGACGCAAGCTATATTTATAGGTGGCCAAAGCGGGGAGCCATTCTTGGCCAATCACGTGTGGCTTGATAGGCCAGTACGAGAATTTTCGCCATACTGGTGTTTTGTAAAGCTAGTGTTCAATTTTGTTGTTCTTCATTGTTTCTTTCTTCCAGTTGCAATTGTCTTGCAAACTAATGGTTTGTGAAAGCCAACAAATGGACGAGAAGTTGAGTGTCTTTGAGGTATGTCGTATGAGAGAGAGAGAAATGCGCCCTAAGAAAACAATTCCCTTTTGACGAACGTTTTTTGGCTATGTTGAAATAGTGATGCACTTTTTGGAACCTTTGGTATAGTAATGAATATTACTGGAGTTTTATCCAACACCAAACCGTTATTTTTAACAACTAGACACGTGTTTCAATCACCAATTCAAGATGAAGATCAAACTAACTAAATCTACATACAATGTTGTCCTCGTAATGGCTAAAATCTTATCTATATAAAATAAAATATCAAAATTATTACAGAACAAATAAGTACTATACAAAAGAAAATTTTCTTCAAAAATATCTGTTGGTAATTGTAAAATTATATTAGGCTTTATCAATTAAAATTTTGCTTAATTTATTCCCGAAAATAGTTAAGGAATAACTCTTCAAGCTCATGGGAATTTCATTGTACATCTTTATTCCATTGAACATTAATGAATCTTCTACCATCGTTGTAATGGGCAGGAGTAGCCTGTTCAAATTAGCTTGGCGTGTATTATTGTGTGACTCGTTTGTATTATCAAGAACAGATATATTATTATGGATCAGACTTACTGTTCAATGAATAATGATTTGCAGTATTCTTGTAGCTTTGCCTTGCACGTATACCAGATGACTCGCTTTTATAAAACAAAAACAGTCTACAGCATGCTTTTGCTGCATACTCCCCAGAAGGCATATCTACAAAGGCAAAGAAATCAGATCTTGCAAAGGTTCTACCTAGCTATCTCAAAATTGACTTGATATCAAAACAGCCAGCTTAATTATATGATCCTCTTATTCAAGTGTATCCATGTGAAGTCCTAAGAATTTTGGTAACAATTTCACCACGAGAATATTGTCAGTCAAACTAAGCTGTGAAAGTTCGTATCGGATGGTGAGGAGATGAGTTTTATTAAGATTTAATGAAAACTTGTTTTTACACAGGCTCTTTATTATTTCCATATCTTTAGTGGCATCTTGAACTAGTTTCATGAGATCTTTTTCCTGCCACAGCAACTTGATGGCAACTGCAAATAATGTGATGTAAGCAGTTGAGTCCAGTTGTGTGATAGCTTAATATGTAATAAAAACAAGATGGGTCCCAGGATAGAACCTTGAGGGACCCATACTGGAGTTTGTTGATAGTCTCACAAACTGCTTTCGAAACAATAAGTACGCTTGGGACAATCTAATACTTACGTGTCCAAATCCGTAATATTTCAGCTTCAGCAAGATTTCATGATCAACAAGGTTAAATGGCTTGGAAAAATAACAGAATACAGCTGCTGTGGAGGCACCAGAATTTATATCATAATTAACTTTATAAAGAAAGTTGAAATTAGCATCTTTGGTACTTTTGTTATTCTGAAAACCATACTGCTGTGTTGTTATTATTCAGAAAGTGAAATAACTGCTTTTTGATGATTCTTTTTATTGTTTTCAGATAAGGTGAGAACAAGTGATATAGGTCTATAGTTCATTGAATCATCTATGTCTCTCTACCTTTGAAAAAGGAAGTAACTATAGAAGTCTTTGGAAATTCTGGAAGTCAGTCATCCATGATAATATCTATATTTTGCATCATTTATCATATTTCTGTTTTTAATAACATATTTGAGAAAACTTTAATTTTTTGCATATTTTAAGATAAACACTCTCCAGTGCTTGATGTGTGCTCCACAGCTGATTTTTTTTTGAGCGCATTCTATAAAACATCTTCACTTCACTAGTGATTTTATTATTATTGTCGGCAATATCATTGTATGGTAAACGTATATAAGAAACAATTTTGTTTTGAGATTTCAAAGATTCTACCTAATTTTTAAAATGAGCACCACATTACTATTTCCAAAGCTACATTTGACAGTCATCGACACGTGAAGTAACACCTTTTTATGATTACATTAAATATTATATACAGCTGATCATTATAACATTGCATTGTTAAATATTCACATTTGGATTGTTATTCAGAAAACTGCTAGTATTGTCTCCCATAAAATACTACTTTTGAACGATTTATGTACTTTCTTTTCAATAATGCAGTTTTTGAGTTCAAAACTGTACCAAGACAGATAACTGTGTCATTGTTGAATAGACAGCATCGTAAAATTGTTCTAAATCTGAATTAACACAATTTCTAGTTGAATAGTTCTACCAGTCAATAGAAGCAAAAAAGTTATTGATTACGTGGAAATCAACTCTGATAAGGTCAAAAATAGCATCTTCGTAATCAAAGGGAGGCTTTCCATCATCAGTAGGCAATCCAAATGAGTAAGCTGCATGATAAGTACTGGTATGCTAAAGTAAGTCGGTAGCACAACATACCCTTATAGATACAATGGTAGTGAAGAGAAGGTCTAACGTTATGCCACTGTTAATTGGTATTTCATCAACTTGAAACAGATTCAAATAACAGAAAGATTCAGTCAATCACACAATATTAGAATTATCCAGGCAATAATCAACACCTACACCTAAGTTTCCATTGACCCAGAATGCCTTCGCTAAATTGTCATCCCCAAAAATTACAGATTTGTGATCAGGGAAAATTTGTGAAAAACGTTCAACTCCCAAGCAGTTGCTAACATGAACCACACAGCAAACAATAAGTTGAAGCTTCAACAAAGACTTGTTCAACTGTAGTGTTCTCGGTATTTGAATGACATCCATTAACAGTTTCAATAGTAGATACCAATAGACCACCTCTTCTTGATTAAGCATTTGTAATAAGGAAACATTCCACCCAAATAAGTTGAATCCTGGTGTATAGGTTTCTGCAAGTGACATATCATTATCCAGTCATGTTTCAGATATCATAATAATGTCATATGAACTGTGGGTGGTCAAGTTTCTGAAATAATTGTAAGAAGTGTCCATTCTGACAACATTTTCATAATAACATGACCGGTTACTTAATACTTGATTGTTTAGTTTATTGATCCATTGTTCACTTTTCTTCCCAGTTTTTCAACTGTTAACCATTGCTAAAACAAATATGGAAAGACAAATTGTTGAGGAAGAAGTATGAATAAGTACATAAAAAAAAAGGAGATTTGTGATGGACGTTTACATATAAAGATAGTCATATTTCCTTGTTTTTATTTGTTCCAAACTACACACATCGGAAAAGTCTAGGGATATTTTTAAAAATGGCAATATTTTTTTTTAGATCGCTTTAGGGAAAAAAGTTGACGGGTGATTATTAAACGAATGTAACTTACAACAAAATTTATTGAATGGTCAAAAATACTGAGTGCGCATATAAGCAAAACTAAAAAAAATATGGCTCTTCTTTGGCACCCCAAAAAAAATCATAATACAAAAAAAATTGGAATCAGTACAAAGTATGGCCTCCACGCTGGTTTATTACGGCCCTACATCTATCGTGCATCGACAAAATGAGATTGTCAATGTCTTGTTGAGGTACATTTGCCCATTCAGCGATTAAAAGCTCTCTCAATTGAAACGTTGTGTGAATGTTCCCCATATGCGGAGTAATTCTTCGTTGAAGCATGTCCCACACATGCTCGATGGGATTCAGGTTCGGTGATTGTGCTGGCCATGGCAATACATCAACTCCTTCGTTGGTGAGCCAGTCAGTCACTAGACGCACGACATGTGGACGAGCATTATCGTGCATTAGGTGGAAGTTTTCACCAACAGCACCAGCAAACGGACGGACGATAGGTAGAAGAATGGTGTCGAGGTACTGTCGAGGTGTAAGGGAGCTATTTGAAAAAACGAGATCGGTTCTGCCGCCGATCATGATTCCGCCCCATAGCATTACTGTACCACCTCTGTATGTGTGGACTTCCTGGACGTGTCTCAAACGTTCATTATTTCCAGGTCGTCTCCACAGTCTTACTCGACGAGAATCTGGATGAAATCCAAATCTGGATTCGTCTGTAAACAAAACTGTGGCCCAATTACCTTAAACGACCTCATGCATTTATTTTTATGATATTTAGTATGTTATAAAAATATCCCTAGACTTTTCCGATGTGTATATTTCACAGCCTCATTGTTTTCAGGTCGGCCTGAACCTACAATCCCATCAACCAACCCTTTCAACACTATAGGTATGGGAGGATTTCCTAATTTCAATCAGCTAGGCTTGGGTGGAAATTTGAATATGTCAGAACTCCAATCCAGAATGCAAAGTGAGCTACTTGCTAATCCTGAAATGCTAAATAATGTACTAGATAATCCTTTGGTACAAAGAATAATGTACAACCCTGATAATATGAGGGCTCTCCTCACTAGAAATCCGCAGATGCAAGAACTAATGGAGAGAAATCCAGAAATTAATCATATGCTCAACAACCCAGATCTCTTGAGGCAAACAATGGAGCTGGCCCGCAATCCTGCTATGTTGCAAGAACTCATGAGGAGCCATGACAGGGCCATAAGCAACTTGGAGAGCATCCCTGGAGGTTATAATGCATTACACAGAATGTATCGTGATATACAGGAGCCCATGTTATCTGCAACTACTGATCAGTTGGTTCGCAATCCTTTCGCAGGATTGGTTGGTAATACGTCTGCTAATAATCCACAACAAGGACGAGAAAACACTGAACCACTTCCGAACCCATGGAACCCGAATCAAACTTCAACTCCAAATACTATGCCGAGCTCAGCTACCCCGGATGCCTCTTCGTTGCCAAGCTTTATGCGACAAGTAGCTGGAAACCCAGTACCGGTACAGGATATGATTTCGGATCCCCTTGTGCAATCTGCAGTGGAAGCTTTGTTGACCGATCCCAGCACGACAACTCCTATTATTGCAAGCAACCCTTTGCTTGGGGGAAATCCTATGTTACAAGAACAAATGCAAGCCCTGTTGCCTCATTTCATTGAACAGCTGCAAAGACCAGAAATTTCTTCTATCTTATCGAATCCCCAGGCAATGAATGCCATCTTACAAATACAACAAGGCATGGAGACTCTCAGGCAAACGGCTCCCAATTTGCTAAATACGGCTATTCCAGGAAATACGTCTGGAACTGCCCAGTCAAGTACTGGAAATCAGGCAAGCAGCACTACTGCCAGTACAACAACTACCAGTTCCAATCCAACTCTTAATTCTAATAATCCGTACTCAGAGGTAAGTCATAATAATAACAAACTCTGAAAGATGATAAATTATTTTCACTTCTTCGATTGACGACTTGTTTATTTTGTGGAAATTCATGTTCACTGACGATACACTACCAAAACACACTTTTGTCTATTTTCCACTATGTTGTTGACTGGTTTCGGCTATTACACCATTTTCAAAACTAACTGAATACATTTAAATCTGAGTAATTAGCAACATAGGTATAAATTACTCAGATTTAAATGTAATCAGTTAGTTTTAAAAATGGTGTAATAGCCGAAACCGGTCAACAAAAAAATATAGTGGAAAATAGACAAAAGTGTGTTTTTGTAGTGTATCCTCAGTGATGATAAATTATCTCAGAACAAAATAAATCCCCTTCAATTTATATTTATTTAGAATGCTTTTTGGTAGAAAATTCTGGAACTGTGCATATACAAGGTCACTGAATGTCTTGAAAGGTTTTCTCAAATTTTTTTGCAGCGTATTACTTTATTTTATATTAGAAACTTGTGCAATTACATAGGACCATGCCATTCTATGTTCCATGAATCTCGTCTGCTCGTCAAAAGTAACTCCCAAGACTCTCATGAATGCTGAATATTTCACAGGGTCATTATTTATATGATATAAAGTAAGTTTACTTACTCATACTGTTTCCTGTGATTTTCACCAGAAGAGGTTTACAAAACTGCGACAACTCAGGGCCACAAGCAATATTTATGCCATATTCAGCAAATGGTAATTCTGTCATTGAAATAATATCGGAGAAATTCAGTCTAGTATTAGAGTTTATGGCACCGCAATAATGATCAACTTCTATGTAGTCTGCTTTTACGAAATCATTATTACAGTCACTGTAATTACAACTTTGATTAGTAGATTAAAATTAACTTATATAAAACTACATGAAAAAATTTCACCAGTATTCAAAAAAAACAATCAAGATTGCGATAAGTTAGAGAAAATTCTTACTCGGATGGTAGCATACAGTCAGTACTTCGAACTTTCATTCTGGTCATTTTCGGACCTCCTTGTACAGAGTGATCATCCAATTTGGGAGTTTGGAATTTGGAGGAATTCGGTATTCGGCACGTATCAAGAAATCATAATATGTATTGGTATTAATATTTGATGTCTGTGAGTAGATGAATGGTAATATATTATCCCAAATTTGGAATGACTTTGTCTCAGTGCTGACAAATTTTAATAAATTAACCGACAAATGTAACTTCTTAAGGCTTTTACAATTAGTGAATTTCAGAAATAAAAACAATTGTTCATTCAAGATTATTATTATTTTATGCCAATTCATGGACTTATATTGGATGCACAAATTGATAACATATCCACATTCTGTCATAGACTTAACTGTATTTGATTGAGCAAGTCAAGATTTAAACATTTTACTCAAAGCGAATGACACACTTCACAAGTCAACAATTGCAATGTATTGAAAATAAACATGGGATTATATCTGGCTATTTGGCTATTGTTGCCCTAATTATCGACCCGTATCAAACAATTTATTTTGTGAAATGGAAATTTTCCGATGCTCGGCTTCACATCAAATACAATATTACCACCATGAGTGGCAGCTTTGCTGTGAGAATATTATAAATATTGGTAAAGGAACAATCTAACTTGAATATTTTACATCCATCAAAATAATGAATGTAAGTAGGATTGAAGTACGATTCCATTAAGTTAAGTCTACAAAATACTACAACTAGGTAACCATTGTAGACAATTGACCATGTCGAATAATGATTTTATTTAGAGCACTTTTATTTTGTTGGTTACTCGGTTTATTTGTTATTAGTGTCAGTAGTCATGTACATTGCCATGAAGTTGCCTACAACTGAATATTAAGAATACTAAATGAGATATCATGATAATGAAAACAGATAATAAGAACATCATCTACATATGACAGTTGGTACTAGTGACAAATATTCAGAGTAGCCCAACATAGGAAAAATGAAGGTGCTCCAAAGGAAATCCTCATATATTGGGGTTAGAATCCAACTAGTTCGGACTTCCATTGTCTAATATGCCATAAATTGATTTGAAATCCCTGAAAGAATCTATATATAAGAATAATATACATATAAGAATATTTACATTTACAAACTGTAGGAATTTGGTATAAGGAGATATGCTGTTTTTGGTTTTCTGGGTATATCATCAATCATGTTGGAATGGTTTACATAAATTTTCCACTAATTCAGATATTTTTTTCAACCAGTTTATAGCTCGAGTTGCAAGCGATCTGGGCATTCATGATAATTCTGTACCACCAGAACAACGCTACCAATCCCAGCTGAACCAACTTGCCGCTATGGGTTTCGTCAACAGAGAAGCTAATTTGCAGGCACTTATATCTACATTGGGAGATGTTAATGCTGCTGTAGAGAAATTATTGGCTCTGGGCCAGTTGTCCATGAGCTAACCTTTGAAAAGAATTCTCATGGACCGTAAGAACTCCATTTTACTTTATTATTGCATTGATAGTTTATTTTATTAACAATTGTTTATATAGGTTCAAAAATCTAGATGGTAGATATTTCGATGAAAATGGTCTTGGCAACTTTCCAGTTTTGTCTCACGTATATTTTATTTTAACGTTTTTGGGATTGTACTTTTTTTATCGAAGTCTAGCATCAGATTAAATGTTCTGTTGTTATGCTGTGTTGTGATGATGGCCTCGTTCTTCAACACTCTTGAAATAGACGTAAAAATTCTCCTTGATTAGTGCCTCTACCTTTCTATTGCGCCCAAGTAAAATGATTTTTTATTGGTCATTTTATTGCAGAGAAGGGAGAAAATGAGCGTATGTCAGCATTCTGAAGTACTTTTAAGTTTACTTTAAATAAATATGTAGGGTTTTCAGGAAATACAATCGAGTATTACTTCAGGTTTCAGTTTCTTATTTTCAACATGTGAGTAGATAGTCGAAAACGGTAATTGTTATTTTTTGAATACCCTCTTTCTTATACGCACTGGAAAATGAACCATTCCAAAAAAGAAGATGAACAATTTCATCCGCTACTTTTTGTTTCCATTGAGAAGAAAAGGTCTATTTTATTCGTTTTATCTTTTATGTACCCTTACATCTATATTACCGTTATTCTTTTTTTATACTTCAAATTATTCAGATCCTAAATGTTTTAAATATTTTTATTCTAGTCAAGAAACTAAGCATTGTAACGTTTTCAGTTTTTTTTTTTCTAGTTCATTGACATAAGAATAACATTTTTTAAACTGCGGAATTTTAATTTTTATTTAGGAGAGAATTGAAGGATAAATAAAGATATTTCATTGAGTTGTCGTTTTTTATTTTTATATATGATCATTTCTCGTATGAAGGGTAATATTTAGTAAGTATTATATAATAATGATGATAATATCATGTTTTTAATAATCCTTTGCAATATTGCAGTTGTTACGGTGTACTAATAATGACTAATATTCTTTATTGTCCAAAGAAAAATTCTTGTTGACATAAATAAAATATATAATTGATGAGTGACACAAAAAAAACATTCAGGTAACATTTGATTGTGAGATTTTTACTGAACGGTGTACAAAACCTCGACATGTGTTTGGCTTAACAGATCAGAAGAGGAGAAAGTGGTTGATATTTTTCAAATTTTTATTATATGAAGAACAAATTTTACATGTCCATTTAATGACTTGGTGAAATTTTCTTTTTAATTAGTTTTTACCTCGGGTAAAATTATTGGTCATTAAGTAGGTAGGAGTTCATATGATTCAAACTGTTATGTTATATAAAGCATACATTAGGTAAATTTGGTCAGTGTAAACACACCTGAGGAAGCTATTGTATAGCGAAACACTTGTTGCGGTTTTGTACACTGTTCAGTGAAAATATCACAAAGTGTTACTTGAATAGAAAAACCGACTTTGTGCAGGGATTTTCAATCTCTACATAAATAAAAATCTGCTAGTTTTTGCGGATCGAATCATAGACAGATATACAGACCACAGAATTATCAAACATATTGGATACATATTGAAATAATGAATCTGCTAATCATGAAATAGAGAAATATTGAAGATATTTAAATAAGCATTTTAATAACATCAAACTAAAATCATTACCTTCAGAGCAGGTAAATTCTAATTACTTCCGAAAGCAATTTTTCGTAAAACTCTCAGTCAAGAAACAATTAATTAGGATACCACTGGAAAAAGAAATGATACTCCAAATTCAGAACATTAGTTTAGCGTCACAGAGGAACTGGATATCTCTCCTCATATGACATTTATATTCATGCCTCACCTTTTCCTCATCTTATTTTATTTTGCTCTCGAAAATTTATTACGCCTCGAGTCGATATTGACTCATAGTCCTGTTTTTTCTTGTTCCCCAACTTTACATAACGCTCTTCCCCCTCTAAAATCTCCTGTATTCCGCGTGGTTTTCCGAAGTTTATCCCATGCCTGATCTAACATGCGGAAGGATATTATATTTACAAAGGGCCCGCTGATTTATTTCAGGCATTTCCATAGTACCTTGCATTATGTAAAACAAACACTATAAACTTACTGGTGATATATTACTTTTACCGTTATATGGTCCGTGCAAGAGCTTTTAAAGTCACCAAACCGATTTGAGCACTGAAAGCTATTTGCTTCGAGCAAATATTTTTGTTTCAATCGCGATTGAGTGTATTTTTTTTTTCGCCTTAAGTTGACCGCGAGCACTATTTTCAATTCATACTAATTATAGTCTTCAATTATTGGCAGCGGGGTGAAGACCGGCAGATCATTGAAAATTAAAAAAATGATTTTCATCGACTTTTTTTTGGTATTTTTTACCATTCACAATCCGAAAAATATAAAAATTATAATGGAGAACTTTATACAAGTGTTACCCCGATAAGTTACTGCGTAAAATCAAAGTATTTTCACAAAGAAAAATGTTCCATTTATCAGTTATTTGTCGTATTTAACAAATTTGGCTATCAAAAACATTGCTAAGAAATAATACAATACGAAGTTTCTGAAGTCAAAATCTGCCTCCGTCTTCAGAAATGGGCAAAAAAAATTCTAATGTATTGGCAGTTATTCCTTCTTCGACAGATTTCTAAGGAGTTTTGAAATGTGAAATTATGTCAATGTTGTTGACAACTTAAACATTCAATGTAATACAAGGTGCTCTCCGATATCAGTCTGTTGCCATTTCGCCAAATTTTCCTTCAAGATGGGTAGCCACGTACGGTCTATTTCTAAGGAGCTGTTCAAGATACAATTCTCTCCAGATATGAGAATATACGCTGATTCTTTTAACTTACGTCTCTTAGAGTGAGGCTCATTAGTAATCATTCTTGTATTGTTTAATTCCACTCGATGTCCACTGTCTGATTTTAAAATGTGTTCTGACAATTAGATCCTGTCAGTTGCCTATTTTTTGTGTAATCTCGATGTTCATTCTTACGTACTTTCAATGGTCTCGAAATTTCACCAATATAACTTTTACCACACGAACAAGGTATCTAATAAATGCGATTTTTTGTTTTTTCGTCAGTGTTGTTAGGTTTTGTATGTGTATATTTTCTTTTGAAAGTAGTTCTAACATCATACCTATGTATAAGGTAAGGTATAACGTTAGTTGTGAATGTTCCATTTAAAAAATATTTACACCTTCATCATTTTGAGAACAACCTGTTATATCAAATGTTCCAATTTGGTGTGGGTTATTTGTGATAAACACATTCTTATCAATGAATAAAAAATTCAAAATCAAAACTGCTTTTATTAGAACCCATTCAATCATACCATAATTTTAAATGATTTCTTTGTAGAAATACAGCTTGTGATTTTTCAAGATATAAGGAACCGGAGAAGGAAACTGTGGCGAATGAAGAAACTTACGGTGACAGCATTGCCTCCAGCGGCGCCCCGTGAGAAGCTTTTGTTTACTATCAACAAGAGGAGCCTGGCCAAACCAAATGCACTCGAATGAGAAGCAACGGCTATAGAAATTAGAGAAACAGTTATGGTTTATTATTGTTTTCATTTTGTATATGTTTTTTTTTAGGAATAAATGGATGATATTGTTTTCCTTTGTATCGAGTCCTTTTTGGCCTGAATGTATGCCTGTAAAACATTTGGCATTTGCATATCAACAGATGAGTATTCACTTGCACTTTTTGGAAAACAATTAGGCAATAAACAAAATTTTTCACCAAAGCGCTAAAACATGCAGGCACAAAATTCTTTGATTTAGGTACTTTGAAAGAGAAAAGCGAGTTTTTGAAGTCGAAAGAAATGAAGAATTCTATTAGGAGAACAATACACTCTTTTTATATAAAAAACGAAATACCTACATTAAATAAAGTTTTGTCAGTTATTCGTGAAGATAGTTTTTTCCTGATATAAGAAGAACTCTATTATGGAAGATATTACATGAGCTGAATTTCACTTTTGGAAAGCAAGATAGAAAGAGCATGTTAATAGAGAAATCAGAGATTGTAGAATAGACAAGAAACTATTTAAGAGAAATAAAGAAAGCCAGAGCACAGGTAAATCTATTTTTTATTTGGATGAAACATGGGTCAATGTCATAATGTCTCGAAGGTTTGGCTAGATCAGAACATCAAAGGTGGAAGACAAGCCTTTATGGAAGGTTGGTCCACTGGTTTGAAAAGGTCGTCGTCTTATCATCACTCACATAGGCAGCAGTGAAGGATTCGTGAAAGATGGATTGATTGTGTTTGAATCGAAGAAAAATGGGGATTATCATCAAGAAATGAATGGTTTAAAAACATACTTGTAAAACTTCCGCAGAGATCCGTAATAGTAATGGATAATGCAAGTTACCGCAGTAGACGAGTCGAGAAGCTGCCGACGTCGTGTTGGAAGAAAGCAGATATTACTGAGTGGTTACAAATGAAAGCTTTTCTTTTTGAATCGACCATTTTAAGCTGTGTGAAGTGAAGAAATACCTATACAGTGCTCTGGAAACAGTCGACCAAAAAGCTTGGGAAAAATGTATCTACAAAACAATCAGAATCGAAGCAGAGATGTGGGATCTGGATGATCGCNCACTAGTTCTTTAATTACTATTCTGTATTGTTTAATATCAATATTTTATTCCTTGGTGTAACCAGAAGAAAGCAGTTTATTGTATTCGTTTGAAAATGCATTATAGGCAGTAGGTAATGTTAGTTAGGTACGAATACAAGTGGTATAAAAACAGGAAGAATTTTCATTCTCATTTTTCATGATCATTTTATATCACGAAGTAACGGCTATATTCATCAAAAGAAAGTAGATTTTAGTAACACCAAGAATTAATTTTTTGTGTCAGATCGGTTTCGAACTACTATAGCTCCTCGTCAGTACCGGGAGGGTGGCCATTTCACACCAAAGGAAATTAATTTCATATGTAGAAAGTTACTTGCAGCAAATCTTCCAAATGGAAGACGTTGCACAGGTGCCTGATGGTTTTACTTCGGCTTTCTGTGCGGCATTAGCTGGGTTAGTTCATATGAGAGGCAAGGGGTAAGGTTTTTCACCTGAACTTGGGCATGTCGTATGCACCTCTCCGGAATATATTTATCGTATATTCATTCAGTGAGTTATTCTACATCCAACAAAGTTATTTTTGTAAGAAAAATTCATAGTATATGAAATCATTTCCTATAAACAAAATTTTTCACCAAAGCGCTAAAACATGCAGGCACAAAATTCTTTGATTTAGGTACTTTGAAAGAGAAAAGCGAGTTTTTGAAGTCGATAGAAAATTTCTGATGAATTGCTTCAACATATATAAACGTGTAAAGTTTCGAACACCGGATGAATCGGTGGACTCATCAATGCATTTGAGAACTCGTCTTCACTTGTATGTTCAGCAATTCTAGTTCTGTGCTCAGTAGGTGCTTGACCGTGATAAAAACATACCGTAACACTCAAATATCGGGAGATTAATTCACTTATTGAAATATTCAGTAAGTAACAGCTATACTTAGCTATATACTAGGGTCAGTTCTTATCAAATAATCATAGACATCATAATATGGGCTGGCCATGACGTCACTTTTACATACATTCCACCTGCGGATTACATAACGTCTTGGCCGCTCTGCTTCACGGCACATGTGGTTGTCTCAAGTCTTTTTCTAGATTTAACAGACTGTGAATACAAGCATTCTATTTATGTATCAATAAATATCTAACTATCCTAAACTGTTTCTTTGATTTCCCTTAGTTTTGCTTTTACTGTATCGCGGCGTTCTGATAATGATTAATATAGTGGAATTATAAGATACGCAAGATAGGGTTTTTCTTCAATAGTTTTCCGCAAACTAATCACTCCCAAAAAGTTTAGCTACAGTATAAGGCTAAATATACTTGTGGTTTAGCTTAAACAGTCTTCAACCTTTAGTCACAAACAACAACCAAGTCGACGCGTACGTCTACGGAAACACAAATATACTTCTGTCCCTTTTCTGGGGATCAAGATTCTCTGTGTATAGCTGTCAAATATTGATTTGTCAATTGTCATAATAACGTCTATTATCTGTCGATAGGAAAACAACCACTAGTTGTGGTTGTGGATTACATAAAAATAAATATTTTTGAATAAAAAGTTCAACTCGCTGGTAATTTCTGTCTTTCAACTGTTGATGACGTACCCAAAGGTGTTTTTTCTTTTTCAGTGGAAACAATTATTAAAACTGAATACTGTGATTTGTAGTAGGAATGTGATAACCATTTTTGTGACCACATATCTAAGATGTCCAAAAATAAATTAAACCTAACACTACCTCCTGGTTCGATTGACCAGACACCAACAGTAACACCTACTTCTTTTCCGGAGAAACCAACAATGTGAGTCTATTCAAAAAAATTGTATAGGCTTGTGTATGCAGCTTTGTTTTTATATTATTATCCAAAAATTCAGCCAAATGTTACTGTTTTCAACTAGAGTATGTCCCATTTCATTCATCTCTCTTAATGGAAATGTTTCTAGTTTTAGCTTTTCACTTATTTCTCCATCAAGGAGTATGTGATTAATAGTCAAAATAATTAAACTAATCTTGATAAAAATTGTATTTTACAAACATTTTTCATGTGAAGTACAGCATTGTTTTCGCTTTTCATTATAGAATGGCAAAAATATGCCAAATATGTACAAATTGCATTTCACCCAGGATTACTTACAGTGGTTTTTACAAATTCAGTTGCCATAAAAAAGCACAATATTATTACTGCAAGGCCACTTGCAGTAATATGAAGTATATTTTTTAATTGTCAAGAATTTGTGAACAAAAGAAACCAAAATTAATTGCGTGTACCTATGTTGCAAAAATTGATATAAAGAAAGAAGAATATTACTGGAGTTTTTTCCCAACACCAAATCGTTATTTTTAACACCTCGACACGTGTTTCGATCACCAAGTGATCATCTTCAAAGAGGAAAACAACCGATTTTAACTGTATATTAATAAAAATGGTATTATTATTATAGACAAAACCGAATATCCATTGTTTTTTCAGATCTAACACAAACAATAGCATTGATAACTTAACTGCTCGGTTAGAAGAACTTGATATGGATGATACTCAGCGCAAAAGAATAGAAGTATTTTTGTGCCAGAAGGAACAAATTGGTGGAGAATTCTCAGATGATGATTTTGAAAAACTTGGCGAACTAGGTTCTGGTAATGGTGGAGTTGTTACTAAAGTCCGTCATAAAAGTGGGCTTATTATGGCAAGAAAGCTCATTCATCTGGAAGTGAAACCAGCTATAAAAAAACAAATCATTCGTGAACTGAAAGTTTTGCACGAATGTAACTTTGCTCACATAGTTGGTTTTTACTGTGCATTTTACAGTGATGGTGAAATCAGTATTTGTATGGAATACATGGATGCTGGTTCTCTGGATTTGATTTTGAAAAAAGCTGGACTCATTCCAGAAAATATACTGGGGAAAATTACCTCTGCAGTATTGAAGGGTTTGAGCTACCTGAGAGATAAACATGCTATCATGCATAGAGATGTTAAACCTAGCAATATACTGGTGAACAGTAGTGGAGAAATAAAGATATGTGATTTTGGTGTTTCTGGCCAACTGATTGACTCGATGGCAAATTCTTTTGTTGGAACTAGAAGTTATATGTCGGTAAGTGTAAGTGGGATTGAGCTGAACATCAAAATTATTTTACTGTAACTTTTATCTGCTAAGATCAGGAATCAAAATTATTAAGTTCAATGTACTTGAGGATTATACCTTAAACAATAGAAAATGTCACAAAACAAACTTTTTTGGGACACATTTTTGGCAACACATCAGTTATTCATAGATTCTAAGTGTAAAGTGTTCTACTCCTCTCTGGCTTCGATTCAAAATTGCTGAACAAAACTTCAACAAGTGTTGAAGGACAGCTTGAAAGACAAAACGAGGGATGACCCTCATTATCAAAGATAATGAATCGCCAGATGCATATAAAAGCTCTGAATTAGTTGTAAGAGTTGGTTTTATTCATCTCCTAATGATGATCACTAGATTAGCGAATAGAGACACAGTATATTTGTTTTGTGTGAAAGTGTTGTCAATGGATTAATTTCAGACTGACGGTTTCAATCAAGACAAATTTTCAATTCAAATATATAAGTAGCAGAATAAAATGTGTCAGAAACTAATAATTTTTCAAGAATTTAAAATCGTTACAAAAATGAACAATTACTATATAATAAATGTTACGTGCCGGAGTTTTTTTTTTTTTTTCATTGAATGATGATGAATTCAGTGAGAAATTATAACGTGAATCTTGCACAATTTGAAAAAGTTTACGTTATTGGAAAGTCTAAATAGTGTACAAAGAGCANGTGTAGATTGAAAATAGAGCTGGAGCAAGAACACTTCCCTGAGAAACTCCAACTTCCACAGGTGCAAGATGAGAGTGGTGAATTGTGTTTCAACCGCTATTCTCATTGCAAGATATCTGTATATACTGATATCTATTTTTGAGAAAAGATTCGAACCAGCTAAAAGCAGATCCCCTGATACCATAAGACCAAAGCTTGTCAAGTAGTCGATCGTGTGGAACACTATCAAAGGCTTTACTTAAGTCACAATATATGCCTATAGGGCTCTTTTTTTTTCTAATTCATTGAGAATGTGTATATATGTATCTGTGGTTGCCGTAGATGTAGATTTAGATTTTCTGAATCCATGCTGTTCTTCTGGGATAATTCTGAACCTTGCAATGAATGAGTTTAGCCTCTCTAGCATACAATATTCAAAAAGTATGGAAAAAACTGATGTAAGTGATATGGTTATATTTTTTTCCTTCTTTTTATGGAGTGGAATCACTTTCGCTATTTTGAGAGCGTCGGGAAATATGCCTGTTTCACATGCTTTTGTGAAGATAGTTGTTTCTCGGGAATGTTAACTGTCCATATTTGGAGAAATTTTTCAATATTTCGCCCATACAAATGATTGATATTTCCAGAAGCACAATGCTTGACTTTTTTCTCCCTGGGATTATATTATATTTTCTATCCTGTTGGATGATTGCCGAAAAGGGCAATCATGCATTATCCATATTGTCAGTGGGGACAAGGAAAGAATACACGTGTCATAAATTTGTGAATCCAGAGTAAGTCCACAAAGTACTGAAAACAAAACGAAGAGGCTATTGCTCTGAACAACCTAACCTTTTGAAGAAAAATTGTCTTTATTTTTGAAATTTACTAAAAAAGCCCTTAATTTTACGATTTTGGGTCAATTTCATATAATTTGTCAGTACTTTGTGTTGAATCATGGTTACCGCACTCTACGTCCACACTGTTTTTAAATTGATAGTGCGTTATTTGTTTGGTTAAAACTTAACAGTGTTATTGATTTCTTTTTCTGAGTATTTATAGTTAATAGTTTACACGCCTGAAAACACACATCAAAAATAATTTTTAGGATATCTTCTTGAATTTTGCATTTTATTCAACAGGAAATTGATATTGAATTTTTGCTTTCAGAACCATGCTTGGATAAAAAAAGCTGAATCAGAAAATGTTGACATCGCAGGATGGGTTTGTAAAACTATGGACATACAACCTCCGAACAAATAAATGGTTCATATATGGTTTTTTATATTTTAATAGTTGAGGATACTTTTATCGATGAATAGAAATCGTAATAATCAAAATGCTTAAAGACAACTCTTGTCAGTGTCATAATACTGATATGTTAGGTCATACGAAAAAGTCACAAGACAAATACATCACAGGGGTTCGAACATAACCTCTCGAAGAAGTTAAATAACAAAAAAAATTATCATAGATTTTTACACTATCTATACTTCAAATAGTATATTTTGCAATGTTGGTTAATAGTGAATTCGACTGGAAAATTCAGTATTACACCAGATGGAAAGATAAAGATTTACAAATGATATTTTGACTAGATTGAACTATTTTGGGTAAAAATGATGAAACCTCGTCATCATAGAAAATAACTATAATTTTTGAACATATCAAAAAAATAACAAAAATTAGTGAAGAGATCAGTTATATAAAAAATACAAAATTGAACAAGAATTCTTTGCATATAAAAACAAAACTGCTTGAATACATGAAATATGGTCTTCTACAGAAATGAAGTAAAGGAATTAAAAAAAGATAATTGTAGACAATGAAATGCTATGCTCGATGAATTCAATCAATAATACGAAACGGTGGGTAAGAATGATGCGTTAAAATTTCGAAACATTCTACCAGGGGTAGGTAACATTTTTTATGCAATGTATTTGTTGGAATGATTACTCATTATTATTAGAAACCTCTATCAATGAATACACAGTATCTACGATTTTTGTGCACCTAGCTTATTTTATGATGAGGGTTATTATTCGTAAGCACTGCTTTTGGGCCCTGGTATCATCTCGTTGCCTTATTGCAGAGAAAGCGGAAGAGCGATATAGAAAGTAATTCATCATTTGGCGATCGACGCCAAAGCTTGGCTTTGCAACAGATAACGTTGGGATTCTCCTTTATTTTTGACATTCGTGGTTTGAGTTTGCTGTCGATGTATTTTCATGTCATCTTTACGAACTTTGGCTAGAAAACAACAGGAATTTTTGTGTGCGCCTTGGTTTCCACAGTCTGTGTCGCTTTCAACTTCACAGCTTACAATTTAGTTCAGTGTGAGCTGGAGCATTATCCTAATGAAGCATCTATGACTTGTTCTTCTACAACTCTGGTTGCTTTTTTTTGACTCACTCACGGAGAATGGCTAGAACCTTAGTTTTAGTACTGTAGACTCTTCCAGTGCATTGATTGGGGTCTTGTTTCTGGGTCATAGGCAAAAAAATATGAATCACCACATGAAATGACTCTTTTCAACAGATTATGATCTTTCTTGATGTTTTTCAAGATGTCTGAACAAATTTCCATTCTTGAGTAATTTTATTCATTAGTGAGGATATTTGGAAACTCACATTTGTCATATTGAAATGTTCATGTGATATTTGTCAACTAATTTTTCGTTGGTTCGTACATTCTCGACAACTGTACAGATACTCAAACATCGATCCTGACGGATGAGATTGCCTTTTTTCTCAATGTTTCCATATGTTTTCGAAATTAAAGGACGTGGATCATGTTCGATGAATTTTCGCCCTTCTCTGAAACATTCATACCACTCAAAACACCCGTGTATGTGACATACATTCTTAAATTGCTTAATTAAAACGCCTACCATTTTTCCAATGAGCGGCAGATACACGGTCCCACATGAACAAAGGATGTGGCCCAACTGAGCAAGCTAGTGCCGTCCAACCGGTTGAATGTAGGAGATTTCCGACAGACGGTAGTATGACGTCTGACCTTGAAACTCGCAGTTTGTCTCACAAAAAACAAGTCTCGTTATTTTCTAGCCACTCCCCGTATCTAACTTTAAATCCCATTCCTCCTGACCTTACACAATACTTTAAATTGTACACAAGGGCAGCCAAAACACCTCCATTTGGTTTTTGTAATCCCTGCAATTATTTCAACCTTATTTATTTTAACCTTAATATAATTAATAAAAGTAGCAGTCTTCGATGGGGTTAACATTAAATAACATAAGTCATTATCAACAAATTGAACACAAGTTTAGCAGCACACCAAAATATGGGCAATGCCAAAAGTAAGCATCAGTTACGACTATTTAAAACGTGAAATATTTCCAAAGGACCTAGAAAGGTTAGATTTTGTTACCAGCTTTAATGTGGCATTACTGTTCGATTAATGAAGACATCTACCACTCATAGAAGCGTGTGAAAATGAAACAGAAAACATTGCCTAAATTTTTCAGAAAACACCAACCACTGAAATTTCTTGAGCCTCTAGTTACCACATGATCAAACAAATCATTGTTTCAATCCTGAATCATTTGAAAACAGCTTATAGAAAACGAGAGGCCCCAATAAATCAAAACATTATTCATGCATGTAGATATATTGAAATGGTTTGTATTTTTCATACATAAACTATTTTATTTTCAAATCCACAACACTGAAAATACCTCAATGAAATTTTTTTTTGGTTAATGAACTATTAAACATATCGAGAGTCATGATAAAAATATAAATTTTATCAATATCTTTTTTAAATATACAAAGTTTTCGAACATGAACACGGGTTCTTAATAAATATTTGCCAAAGTTACAGTTTCTCTTTTTGGCAAAGTAATATCTCCTATAATATTCATGATTATTAAAAAAAAAGTGATCAAGTCAGGGAGTATGTTATTTCGAAGTATAAATAATGCCTAATGAACTGCATCTTTTCTTCTTATTTTTTTATTCTTATTCAAGTAACACTTTGTAAGATTTCCACTGGACAGTTTACAAAACCAGTTTTGTGAAATTGGCAGATACTTGATGAAAATCTATAACTTGTTCAAATAACACTTTATTGTGAGATCTCACAATAAAATGTTACCTGAATACGTTATGGATTTTCATCAAGTATCTGTCAAGTCCATCACATATTATTTATTCTTTGAAACGACACTCCGTGAGCTGATCACAAACATACCTCTCCAATATACTAACTCTGAAGATCAAAACAGTAGAAAAATATTTCACCACTTCTGACACCAAAATTCAACACCCACTGTCAATCTTAATAGGGTAAAATTGGAACCTCCGGAGTGAAATTCTTAATCTGTGATGGGGGACCACTTTACTTCATGTGACACGTGTCATCTGGGGATTTCAAGAGAAGGTTGAAACTTGAAGGACATTCAATTTGATGTATGATCAAAATGGTGTTATCACATATCTTTTTGAACTGATTATAATTTAAATGAAGGTGTTAAACTGAAGTCAGTTGTAACAATCGTTCTAAATATGAAAACTTTCAACTACGCATATCGAGGAGATTTTATTATACGGACTGAACAACTTTTGAGACTTCCGACTAAATAAAATATTATTCTTTGTTTATAATCATTTGGCAAGTCAATGGATGGCAAAAAAAGAACAGAAAGATAAGTTTTGTCGACCTAATGATGAATGAAAAAAAAGCTGGTGAAAATTCAATGTAAATTCTTGTGTACGAAAGGCTCAGAAAGTTATTTTAAGACTTTTGAGACATTGTTAGCTGATATAGTGAAGCTCAATTGATCCCATCAGAAGAATTTGGTGTCAGGCTGGCATTCATGACTCATAAAACTCACAAGAAATGTTGTTGAAATGTTATTTGGAGATGTACACGAGTTCATATTGACATTTAAGAGTTGTCAATCCCCTGAAATCAAATTTTCCCAGAATAGTTAATGTGTTCGAATCAAACTCAAAAACAAAAAATGGTCAGTAATACTTCTAATTATAAATTTTGTCTATATATTTCAAAATGTAGTTATAGGACAGTTTTTGTTGACTAGTTAAGAACGGAACTTGGAAAGTATCTGACTATACTGACATGTAATATTTTTTTAATTCCACATCTTTTTTGACTCGGCCATCCCCAACAACAGAAAGTTTTAACCTTGTTTGTAAATTTCAATAATTTTACTAATACCATTATAACCTTTTGTAGCTTTTCCTTGAAGATGATAATAAATTTTATCGAAATATTGGAATAACTTGTATTATAAGAGTACACTTCCATTCTGTTGATCACCCAAAGATACTTTCCAAGTTTTGTTATTTCAAAATATATAGACAAAATTAATAATTCATAATGAGAAATGTTACTGACAAGTTGGATACATCCCTATCTGATTTACGGGAGTGAAATGTCTTGATTGAAAAAAATGTTTTTGAAAGTGTTCAAAAGTTTGGCGAAAACGTTCCTCACAAGTTCTTCATATTCTCAACCGACGAAACGCTTGATACTGCCCAAGTATGTACATACTTCAAACAAAAATGAGAATATTTCTTCTAACCATATTTGTTCTAGTCATATGAAGAGTGATCGTGAATGTGAGTCTTATTTTTTATACAGCGTGGTTTTGGGAATGAACATCGACCCAGAGATGTTGTGCTGCCACCTTCAATGTCTCGATTCATTTCTTTTTCGGTAGGTGATCCCAAGGTCAGGCTTGACAGACTTGAAGAAAGGTTCATATTTGAACTAACACTCAGCATAGATGGGTACTGAGTTAGCTCGCCATTTTCCGCTTCAGGCTCTTCTGTTGGAAGACAAGTCACCACCATTGCTTCTAGGCAATTCACAAATAATTCGCTACTCTCAGCCATATTGTTATACTGAAAATAAACAGTTTTTCCGTTACTAAAAATATTACTGATCAATATGGTAAAATGAAAAAATACATATTTTATGCGTCATCAAGTTGTGCATTTTATATAAGTAAATCTAAAGAAATGAACTTTAAACGTTTCAGCCAGTCTAGATATACCTACACAGTAGGTTGAATGGACTGACGCCTATCAGAAAAAACTACTCCCCTGGCTAATACCACGAAGGGCGTTGGATTATATCCGACANTTCAATTTTTCAACTGTGATATCTGGAAAGTGGAACATCAGATATTCCCAATTTGAGTAGTTACGATATTAACTTTATTAGTTAACTAGTTTAGTGATCCAATAATTTTTCTGAAGGTTGGTTAGGTAACAGTATCAATTTTTGTTTCGTTTGTTTCCTGTCGTTTTGTGTTGGTGTTGTCTTGAAAATTTGGTTGTCACAATGTTTTTTATTTTCTATTATGTATCTAATATGCCTGACGGTTTTTAAAATAGTCATATTATTAACATTAAGAAACTACTTTTCGAGCCCTGAAAAATAATCTAATTGAATCCTAAACGTCGGCAAGAAAACAATTGTTTTTTTAAGAAAAAATTGATCCCGTTAGCTAACCAACTTTTCTTCATTAAATTTATTTGCTGTGAAATATGAACTGACCACAAATTATCAGTTGTGAAAATAACTTATAAGTGAATTGAAACCGTAGATACTTTTCAATAAACCAGATGTTAATGATGTTTTCAAAATATCCTTTTTTTCCTGTGAGGAGTTTTCAGAAGTGATTTTTTGGATTTTGAGAACGAAAAGGGATTACTTTCCAAAACGTTAACCATTCAAAACAAACTTGTTAAATTAATTTATTTTTTTCCATTGGTTATTCAATTGGTTGACCAATTGGACTTTGAGGTGTTTAAAAATAGATTTTTATATTTTAGATGTGTAATATCTCCTAAATTATTGTTTTTTGAAAATAATGTATAGAGATTTTTCTAATTAGATTTATTTAATCAAATTCATTTTTAAACAATCACCAATTGAAAATTCTTATGATGAAAATTACCTTATTAAATGGTCCAGCAAACCTCCACAGCCCTCCGAAACCACAACTCTGCAAATAATGCAGTTGTTGCTGCCCTGTATCCTCACATGCTATCATGTTCTGGATAATGTTTCTAACAGCACCCAATATCTCCTCGTCATGGCAGGATGTCAAAACATTATTTATTTTCATATCTAACAAATTATATCTGAAATGAAAAGATTGAAATAAGAAATACAAAAAATATCTAGAAATACGGGGACTCTTCAAAACATGAGGTGAATATTCAAATTTCGCGGGCTACAAACATTCGATTAGCGATTTTTTTATGTTGGTACACTCGTCGCGAACATATGTTCACAGTTTCAAGCATTCAATATATTCAGTTTGTTGGTGAGAGGCATAAAAGTTGTCGCTATCAAAAAAAAATTGATCAAATTCCTTACAATATCTGTTTAAAATCTGTTTTTCCGATACCCAGCTGTCGCACCCCTACGAGCAACCCTCAGAGGTCGAAACTTGTGCGAGCTAAGGACTAACGAGGTCTTACCTTTTAACGTGTGATTCCTAACACGGGTTGGGCGATAGCAATTGAAAATTGATCGTTCAGCCTGAGGCTTGAACCACCGACCAACACGGCGGTCGATTTGAGTGAGTGAACAAAGCACCCATTTCGAACCGACCGGCTACCGACCAATAAATGATCAATTAAAGAATATGTTGTTTCTTATGTAATTCCTGGATCATGATATGTCACATGACATTTGAAATTTAATAATAACTTCAAAATGTTTGTTGGTAAGGAATCATTAGTAAGGCGATATTTAAAAAGCTGTTTTGTTTGTTTCATTGACACTACTAATCATTTATTCAATAAATTTCGGTGTATGAAATGGTAAAAAAACTTTAGAAAATGTTCAAGTTAGGAAACAAAAATATTCGGAGGATTTTGCAAGTATTCGGCAAAGTGATTTTGATAAAAAACCACTATTTCAGAAATTAACCAAATAGAATGTACTATTCCATATGAATAGTACATTCCATAGGAATAGTACATCCTATTATAGATACAAAGAAAGCAAATCGTAAAAAAAAAACCTTTCACAATTTTAATTGTTGCTGTTCATTCAACAATTAATCCAAACATTTTGGTGGTATATTTTTCAATTTTTCTTTTACTGTATGTATGTATAATCCAAAGAAAAATTAAAAAAATTTCATCCAAATTTCACAATATCTGATTTATTAGGCAATATACTCACATTACTGGAAATACCTTAGGGAAAACCACTGCTCCCTCGGCTAGATATTGATACAAAGTCCTAGTTTCCCCTTCATCAGTACTATATTTGACCAAAGTAGCTAAAGTAGTTAGTACTAAAGCCTGCGTTGAGAAATCAGTTAGTACTTCAGGATCAAGAAGTACATTGTTTTCATTGCTGACAGAAACTCTAGTACTCCGTCCCTGAAATAAATCACAGGCCCACTATAATCAACAGGTAAAAGAACGAGAGGTGAATGTCCAATTTCAAAACCAATGTCAGTATACTAAATATATTTATTAAAACTTCTTTTTCACCTGACATCTCATGATCTAACGAAAATTGACGTCGATTTATTCCTTTGGTCCAAATATTCATTCTCAGATATTCTTATACACATTGAAATATGCTAAAAAAACTACATAACCAATAGAAACTTCAAATATTGACTATTCCCATACCCAAAGGTCATCAATAACATCAGTACGATGAACTGATTTATTAACTCTTAATTCATCTTCCAAAGTAACCTAAACACAGCGTTTCAAATTATTCAGATTCGGAAAAAATATAACTTTTTTTTAATGGAATGGCTATATTCAGATTTTTTTTAGGAGAAAAATAACTCTTGATACCTGATTATAGTGGAAACCCAGATTTGACAAAATAGAAATTCAAATATTCGTATGTTATATTGGTATGAATGGAATTGTGTCAGGTTTAAATCTGACTGACGAAATATAATATTTGATCTATTTCAAGAAAATAAATTCTCACCTGATGTTGTGCTGTAGACTGTTTATGGCTGGACTGTGCCAAGGCGGATTGATCTAATAACTCCCAAGATTTTTGTCTTCTGGTTACACCAGTGGATGTGCTACTGGCAGCGGTGGTTCCATGCTGTATAGCACTGGGATGTAAAACATTATCGATAATGAACTCTTGGGAGATGGAATCTACCATATAACGGGGTAAAGAATGTTTTATGTGACACCTACTCTTCACTTCCTCAGAAAACCCAACCAACGCTGCCAAAATACATATAACAAAGTTAGGCAAAAGCAGAATATGAGGTTAGAAACATAACCTAGTGAAAATCGCCAAAAAATGAGCCAAAGAGAATTGTCTTTTTGTTCTTGTTCCACTTTTTAACGATTTTCAGATAAAAGCATTTCAAACAGTACTGCATAGCAACGGCATTTAGTAGAGATAAAATAAGCAAACAGAAAACAGATTTCAATATTTTGAACATAAACAAGATCTCGTAATAATGAACTATGTCACACAATTTCAAAAGCATTATACACAGTTCTCGATTAGTACACAAATAATTTTCATCAGACAATCAAGTTAGTGAAACACTCACCTGTAAGATAAGCAACACTATCTGGTGTGACTTCAAACTTATCTCTTTTGTGGGATTTTGCGACGATACTCAACAGCATAGTCAAAATCCTGACAGTCCTGGATACTGTAGTAGGAGTGGGATGTCGATATCCCTTGAGCAAATGTCCGACTAAAGCAAAGTGAAAGTTAGATTTGAAACTCAAGCCAACTGCGTGATCCAGCTGCTTGAAATGCCACTCCAAGGGTTCTCTGGTTTGCATCAACACAGAAGCTAGAGGCTGAAAATAAATATGACGGGCCCTTATAATGAGAAAAAGGATTTCATATACAATGTCATATTTTATCAATTCAACATAATATTAAATAATAAAAAAATGAATCAAAGATCATGAAGTTTACTGTCTTCCAAATGGTTATTTAATTTCATCAATATAATTACAATTGATAGTGATAAAAGAGTACAAACAAATCCCATGGTGTTCTAGAGTTTTGGAATTGTTTCAAAAATAGTCTAGTTGAAAATTTATAAAAAAAGGTTTAGTTTTCTTTATAGCCTACGTTGTCAAGATGTATAACTTTCATGTCATAGTTATGTATGTATGTATATTCAGATGTCCTCAATGAAATCAGTGACCAATTTCAATTTGAACAGGAGGGATATCAGATGGGATCCTTGTATAATGTCCGATGAAACAGATTTCGTTAATATTGTTGTAAAGTATCCTCCGAAAAAATAACGCCGGCCACCGCTGATCTTCGTCGATCAACTGAGACTTGGCCAAGGTCGCGCTCAACTCTACTTGTGCTTCTCGAACGTTCCAGGTGTCGCGTCGTTTCGAGAATATTCCTATCGGCTTCCGAAGACTTCCATTGGGATATATAAGCACTACCAATAGGCAGAGGAGGCTAGTCTAGTTGAAAGTGCGGTACGAAGTGAGCTAAGAAGGTGATAGACATTTGAATGTTAGCCTGAAGTTCAGTTAAAGTTTTTGTGTTGTATTTACAGTGTAGTAGTGAAATAAAGTAGGGTTTAATTATACAGCGTGGTCAATTATTGTCGAACCTACAGGGAGAACGTAGCCTTATATAGCCATTGGCTCAAGCCACTTGTTTTATTTTCAAGATACTTTCCTATTTGATCAGGAAGATAATGGACTTTGCAAACAGACGCTTTTGTAAAAATACAGAATGGTTGATGGTGTCAAATATCCTGGAGAAATAAGTGTGAATGGAGTCAACCAAATCCATTCTCAAGATTCATTCACTCTAACACTTTTACCACACAACAGAACTAGAGCAATGTCTACTGACTAATTCAGCATCGCCAGGAGATTACTTAAACATCTTAGTCTTAGATAACGAAAGCCTTGTTGGAAGACAGTGCTCTAGTTCTGGCTGTGTAAAAAGTGTTTTCATTAAATTCAATGGTATCAAATTCAATCATAAGCTGCTGAAGGCTCATGCGATATAATATATAGAAAGCAATTTTCCTTAAAAACACCGAGTGTGTATTAGTCCTATTTGAACAAATACACACATATAAATATCTCATTTTGCTCACCTTCTCATCAAATATCCCTTGCGAGTCCAATGTGTGCAAATTCTGTTCCAACAACGCTAAACCAGAAGCATACAAAGACGTTTCATCCAGCTGTAGAACCGAAGTAGCTACCCAAAAGAGGGCCTTATGTATAGGAGATTCTGACCGCAACAAGGGCTGTAACCTAGTTAAACACATAACCAAAGCTTCTATCAGCACTATATCAGTAAAACTTTCTAGAGCCTTTACTAAAATCTTCAATAACTGTGTCATATCATAATCAGTAACTGTTTTGCTAATACATCCAAAAACAATAAGAGCTCTAGGCTGTAAGGCAGGGTTGAAACAAAAAGCAAAACTTTTTGCCAACGATGTCCAACTGGTTAACCAATCACAGTCTGGAATGTCTCTCATACAAGCTTCCATTATTTCCAGAAGAGCATCTGTTATAACCTCCAATGATGTGAGGGACAAACGTTCTCTATCCTGGCCAGCTACTCCAGAAAAACTTCGTTCGTTTCCGTACCACTTTTCATTGGGATGCCTATAGCTTGATCTAAATGCAGTTACAGCTGCTGATTTTACTTTGCTTATCCCAAACAGCAGGTAAAACTTCGGTAAGGAAAACTCGTCCAATGATAGTCTCAGCAATCTCTGGGTTTCTTCTGAGAATGTAGGTTTCGTACAAGTGCAGAGAGAGTGGATTATGTTGATGACCAGACCGTGGGTTGAGGCTCGCATACTTAAAGATCCGGAGCATACCAGGAATGTAACTGTGTGAAACAAGTAAGGTAGGTGTTTCACTACGTCCAAACTGTTATTAAAGGACAACATAAGGAGATATCTTGCTAATATGGCTATATCATCCCACATCACATGGTGCTCTAAGAGAGGTGTTGGTGACTGGCATGTTTTATCAACGACCTGAAAAAATAATTGCTTTAAAAAAACATGTCAAGATGGAAACAAAGAATATAATATTTCAATTATGATAATAATCGTCTTCATTTCTCCAAAAGAACAAACAAAAATTACAGCTAGAGAACTGCTCTCAAAGCTATTTTACAAGTTTGCTGGTGGTCTGCAAGTCTTTATGGCCTTACGTTTCAAATACAACTGCAGTAGACATTATCGAAGGCAATGAGGCAAAAGACGCAGTGCTTGATTTCTCCTCAGAGTGTATACTTCATTGCTTGGAATTTGGGTATCCGGTTTTATTTCTTCGGTCGTAAGCATGGATTCGTCCGTATTGGTTGGCTTAATTGATCTTACTCGTTAAGATAGTTCGATTTGCCAAACTTGACTTTATTTATGTTAATTTCCCTTTTCTTTTAGTTGAAATTGGTCTTGGCACTTGGATAGTAGCTCTCGAGTTAGAATATAATTTATTCATCATTAAAATATCACACACATATAACATATACATTACTAGTACAATATTTATCAGACTAGTCACACAAACTGAAGAAAAAGCAGCTTATACATTCCAATCTAAAAATTCTTCGACATTGTAAAAGGCATTTTCTAGGAGAAGGTTTATTTAAGCTTTTTTGAATGTATTGTAATTTTCAATATTTCCTAGTAACCTAGTTGCTTCGTTATAACATATGACTCCTTGATAGCTTGCCGAGCCTGGCCCAAGGGCTAATCGTTTATAAGGTAGTCTCAGATCATTTCCTCTGCGAGTATTGTGATCATGTATCATACTGTTTTTTGTATGGTGTGATTCATTTCTTTTGATATTCATAGTTATGAGCAAAATATATAAAGACGGTAGTGTTAAAATGACCAGATATTTAAAAACCATCTTGCATGATTGTCTAAAATGTATGCCAGCGATACATCTAATTATTTTTTTTGGATAACAAACATTTTTGTTAGGTATGCTGAGTTTCCCCAGAATATTACTCCTTTGAGATATTAGATTGTACTAATCCGAAATAGGCCAATTTGAGTACTTCTAAAGATACTGTTCCGTGTAGTTGTCTTATTATAGACTCTACTTAGGTTTGTTATTAGATAATCTGTATATTTTCCCCAAGTTAACTTCTGATCAATAACTAATCCTAGATACTTATATTGATTCACCTGCTCTATAGATCTGTGATGTATTTTTATTAGTGAACAATGATCATTAGTAAGATTCGTTTGTTGATAGTTCATGAAAACATTAACAAGTGGACCGTTATTTGTGCACCATTGTGAAAATTCATCAGCAGTTTTATTTGCAGCTTGAACAGAGAGGAGAAGTTCATTTTCTGCTACTATTTGATAGGTATCATCAGCAAATATTATTGTTTTTTGTGGAGATACACATGAATTTTCAATATCACTCATAAATATTATAAAGAGAAACGGAGCCAATGTTGAGCCTTGTGGAACTCCTAATGAGACAGAAGCTGGTTGTGATTTTATTTCTTCTATTACCACTATTTGCGACCTTTGACATAAATATGATGCTACCCATTCATTGGCTACTCCTCTTATTCCCATTCTATACAGTTTATCAAGTAATAAACTGTGGTCAATTGTATCGAATGCCCGGGATAGAACAATGAATAAACTGATTGGACATTTATTATCATTGAGATTTTTGTAGACGTTGTCACACATTTCGAATATGGCAGATGATGTTGATTTTTGCTGTCTAAAACCATGTTGACATTCTGGTATGAGTTTATAGTGTTCAACAAATTTACGAAGTCGCAAATAATAGGCATATTCGATAACTTTGTCAATTTGCGATTGCAAACAGATATTTCTATAGTTGGTTACGTCATTTTTGGAGCCCTTGTTTTTATATATGGGTATAGACTTTGATGTTTTCAGTGATTCTGGATATATGCTGTCACATAAAGATTTATTTACAATAAATGATAGAGGTTGACAAATTATGTCATCGACACTTTTAAGAGATTTATTGTGTATATAATCAATTCCTGAGGCTGTACTTTTAGTGGTTTTATTAATGATTTCTTGGATCTCTGTATGTGATGTTGGATATAAGAATAAGCTGTTGTATGAGAAAGGATATAATTTCCATTCATTTGTATTAGGTTGATTTGTTTTTATGTCAATGAAAAATGTATTGAGAAGGTTACTTATTGTCGTTTTATCTGCAGTAGTATTACCATTGATTGTTAGTTCTAAAGTATCATTATGTTTTATTTTATTCCTATTTTCATTGATAATTTTCCAACTTTCCTTTTTCTATTAAACATTGGAGTCTTTTGGAATGCTATAGAGTAAGTGCATTAACGATAAGTCTTTGTGACATATTATCTCTTTTTTTTTGTAATCCATATAAACTAGGCAGAAAAGCCTCGGATTTTTATAAAGCTTTCTCATATTATGTTACAGACTCAATGAATGGAAAAGGTGATTCGTTCTTCTTGAAATTCCGGCGGTCGAATCCCCATTGCCGACGGAGTCTCTTATACATCCCTGTGTCGAATAAGTTGGTGATTTTCTCGTTGTAATAGGCATTATTATCGGACCAGAACCTGTCAATGGAGTCGCTTTAGGCTTTGCCAAACAAACATTGAACACCTGGATGGCAAGAAGATTTATGGACTTCTGACAGAATCTTCCAGGATTGGCTCACTCCAAAGCGTTTATTCACCTTTTGAAGCTTGATTCCAAACAGTTGTTGGACTACAGTAGGGATGAACTACGATGTCTAACAATCTAAACTTTGTTAACAAGAATTCTGTTCTTTAGACAATAAAGTTCTTTCTCTCTCTCTCTCTCTAACAGGCCTTCTTACAGGTCACTGTCATTTGAATCATCGGACTGTCAGAAGACAGTGTGTGTCGCCTCTGTTTGGAAAACGATGAAATAGCACAGCACACACTTTGTGCCTGCCACGCTGGGGACCTAATCAGGTTTTTAGAATTCGGCAGAGCCGTACTCTTACCATTTGACCTAAAAGACCACTCACAATACAAACTAATCGGCTTCGTTAAGAAGCTGAGTTTATTTCGTGTGAATAGGTGTGAGCCACAATAAACCCTTGGGGGTTGCGGTGGAGGGTCGAATAGACCCACTCACTTTTGACCTAACCTAACCTAATTGGCATTAAAACAAGTGATGGGATATTAAGAATTAAAATTAGTTGGTCATTCGTTTATTGCAATATTCTGAGATATCTTAAATCATGGAATCATTGAAATAATTGAGATGATTCAAAGCAGTGTTGTAACGGAGGCCACGTAGTGAAGGCGGAGACGAAAAGTGCAAAGGTTTGCCTCCACAAAAGCAAATTAATTTGTTGCTTGCTAGAAAAAAACTTATTGGTGAAAAATAAAAGTTATCTAGATTACAGTGACTCAAAATGTTTTTACCACTTCAGTGAGCTGTGCTGACAATTTCTCAAAACTATCTATAAGAAAATAAATAATTCGAATTAAAATCTCAAAATATTCATCTCTCCCAACTACTTACATCTTAGGTTCTGGCAAATGCCTGGTGGAAAACAACTACTTCCTCGGCTAATACCACCTGGATATTGAATTATATCCGACATACATTTATGCAAGGCTAATACCACCTGGATATTGAATTATATCCGACATACATTTATGCAAGATACCTCAGAGGTTCATACATGTAGTCGAGCAGCATTGAAATTAATCGAGTCCCAGGCACTTTGCTGTTCGGGTCGGATCTTTCCTGCACTATTGAAAGGTAATAAATGTCTGTCGGATATAATTCAATGTTCAGAGTGGTATTAGCCGGAGAAGTAGTTGTTTTCCGGCAGGCATTCACCAGAGATTTCACTTCGAAATATTAATTTTCTTATGTATATGGTTCTCTCCTTGATACAGTCTTCAGACATGTTTTGATTTCTGGTAAAAATATATATAACAATATACTTTGGCAATTACTTACCCTGCACAATCGTCCGATAATTTTCTTCGCCACTAATGGGACATTTGCAGACGCAAGAGCTACAGCTGTATCCGCCATTATTTCCACCATTGGAGATCCAAGTCCAGAATTAACTGATCTATGTATAAAGTTATCAAGCACCATATCAATGAGCTCGGGAACTTGTCCAATAGATCCCCATATTTTAGCTTGAATTGATGGGTACATCTGAACTTCTTCGATTGTCAACAGTATTAGCTTTTCTATAATTCCAGCTACCTGTTTTTGTCTTTTATTTTCTTCAGCTGCCTTACAAAATCTAGAAAGACAAAGTTGGAACAATATTCATTTCTACTAACTGAATACTGTGATCTTACCTAACCAAATTAGGCAACCAGGGAGTCATGTATTCCAAACATAAATGCTTCAATTCAATACTAGATACTCTAAATCCTTGAATACACTCTTCTAAAAATTCTAAAGTCAGATGCGGTTCATTCGTTGCCAATTTTTCCGAAACAGATTTAATAAATATTGTGTTATTGGAGGGAATGCACAGCCCTTGGGTTTCTAATAGCTGTCCTTCGATTTTCAGATCGAAAGTGGCAGTCAAAGCACACAGCTGGTTATAAGCAGCTGTCCGCAAGTTTGGATCAGATGATCCTAAATTCAATAAAGCCATATTCAGTAATGTTCCAGGAACGTCCTTTGGTCGAATTTTTTGATGAACCGTTACAGAGTCCTGAAAATCATACGCAATGAAAAAAAACTTCTTTGGTTGAACAGTTAAACCGCCGAATAATACAAATCACATACTTACTGGTTGACTTAGTTCCCAACGGTTTCTTATATGTACAATAGCTTGCACGATACTATCACAGTCGTTATGTATAAAACTAAGAGGGCCACCTTCATTTGCTATAGTCAACGTAAACTGATTATCATCCACTAAACATACTTCCTCGATTTCGGAAGCATAATAAATATCATTTAGAAATACTTGGTGTGACAAAACTTTGGTCTTTTCTGCCGAGGTTATTTGTATGGCCGTCGGACCTACTTTTATTGATACTTTCGTATCTTTGTGCGACAATTTCAAGGCATTTGCAAACACTTTCAGATCCTCTTCGAGGCTCAGAGTTGCTCCTGGCAATTTCTGTTGATCGAGGTCGATAAACTCGGCCAATTTTGCAGGCGACTCTACGAAAGCAATCTTCCTACTTCCCTGAAAATAAATTAAATGAAAATGAGGAGTTCCATTATCAAGCCTAAACCAATTCGATCAAGTGATTCGCGATCAAAAGTGATTTTTCAGATGCTTCTGGTGCAATCGATCAATTTTAAATATGCCTTTTTTTACAAGCTTTTAGTCAACTTGCAATGGATGTTTGGATGTATGTTAGTATGTGTCAAATTTTGCAACTGAATTTTAATGCAGTTATCCCGATTTCCACAGAGAATTTTAATATGAAAATAAATTTGATGAAACAAATTGCAGTAAACCAAAAAAAAACTAACGCGGCCGCCGCTGGCCGTCGTAAAACAACTATGACGTGGCTAAGACCAGCCGGCGTCTAGCGGTTGTTCGCTGTTCGCACATGGAATTCCGGCGAATATTCTACCACAGATTATTCTACCGTTTTCGATGGATTTCTGGGGAATTCTCCACCGGTTTCGGGATAGTTCGTTTGCCGCATATAAACGCTACCCACGAGCATATCGATATAGTCAAGTTTAAGTGACAGTGCGGTACGCTGCGATCTAATAAGGCGCCAGACATTCAAAAATTGGTTGAAATTTTAGTTAAAGTGTTTTTTTTGTTCTATTATAGTGAAATAAAAGTCAAGTTTGATTATTATACAGTGTAGTGAATAATTATCGGTAAACCCACGGGAAAAAGCATAACAATTACCTATTTTTCTAGAATCAATATTGTTGAAAAAAAAAATCTTTTGAAATCTGTTTTACCCTTAACTGGCTGTCGCCCCCTTATGAACGACAACCCTCAAAAATAGACACTTGTGCGAGCTAAGGATTTACGAGGAATTACTTTTTAACGTGCCATTCCTAGCACGGGGGGGGAGACTTCACCAACATTTTGAGCCGAGGTGATCTGACCAAAAACTGGCCTCTGTCGACTTCGTACATTTATATTGTTTCTTGCAACTGAATATTGTTCATCCTTGCACTTAGGTACTCCGTACTGATGAGGCCAATTATCCCTTTTCCTTGAGTAATAGTTTTAGTGAAATTCATATTGGTGTAAAGGATAATCAGGTGAGATCGATGTCTCAATCAATTTTCAGATACTCGAGGTATTTTCGTTGAATTATTGAATTGGCGTGAATTTTATATGAGAAGGCCTGTAGTGTGCAAAAACTTCAATAAACGCCAATAAATAATAACTATTTATTTGGAACTACCTGGAACTACAATAATCAAGGCGCATATATTGGTGAAATTGATGAAGTGTTGAATTTACTGATAACAAGAAACAATATTACTGATATTAGAAGTGTCAAAATTAAATTAAAATACTTCAACAAAGGCATTCAGGCATTTCAAAACGGCGATAATCTTAAAAAGAAAATGATGCTTTGAAAGAAGCAAATTTTCTGTTACATATGAGGATACAAATACAAACAAATGAAAGGAATTTGAAGTTGTACAATTGAATATCATACAGCTTGCAAGAACTTTAAACAGAAGTATTAAGCAGGGCTGAAGAACTCAATGATAGTGACTTGTATATATATTCAGATCTGATTCCTGAAGATTATCACAGGCATAAATTTTTAGTTTCACAACTGAAACAAACAAGAAATAACAATCTTTCATACAAAATCAAGGTAAAACGTTAATTGTGAATGGAAATCAGACATTGATATTTTCAGAGAACGGAAAGGATCCAAAATATCAAGATCCTCAAAAAGGAGTACTGCTAAAAATTAGTAATTGTAAATCATTTAAAGACTTTTTTTTCACATTTATTTTCTTTAAAAGCGTAGGTATTAAGTAATTATATATTATATTTTGTATTAGTAATAATAGTTCATTGTAAAATTGTAGAGTATGGAGTCCATAGAGATTGGTCATTCAAGTGTAAGGTCCCTATTACCTAACTATCTCAGGTGGAAGAGCTTTTCGCCATCATATTTTAATATTCTGAGGAAAACATGGCTACCCTCTGTCATTCATGATCATATATGCAAAATTGAAGGTTTCAAGTTGATCAGAAGAGACAGTTTGCCAGATAGTGGGTGTTTGCATGTTTGTTCGAAGTAACTCAAAATTTTCAATTATTCAGATGGATTATGCTAATGAGCAATTGTAGGTAAACCTAAAAATAGCGAAACAAAAGTGCTTATGCTATAGGTGTTGTCCATAAACTCTCTTATTCTTCATATGAATATTGAAATAATTTACAAAACGAACTTACAAATATATTGTACTGTTCCCTTTTTTCTTGATTTACAACAAGAAAGTAGTATTTGTGTCCTTGGAATGAGTAGCTCTTGATTTGTGAAGGCAAGGGCGCAGGTCGGTTCTTGATTTTCTATAGAAACTCAATCGAAAGTGCTGAAAAGGGTTACCAAATCAAAAGCTCTTATTCGGACACCATCTACATAAATTTACGGAAATACTGTATCCCTATTAACACGTGTCACTGTAGACAGTAAAGACCAACTTAGTTACACTGGAACAGGAGACACTTCAAGCATACCAATAAAACAAGGAATACGGTTTAGTTGATAGTCTTGATGTTTGGCATCCCTAACTTCGAAATGAATGAATGATTGAAAATAATAAATATTGGAAAACCATATCCTGTAAAGAAACAATTGTAAATAACTTAACTTACCTTCATAGGAGCAAAAAGTCTGTCATGGAATTTGGTATACTCTCGCACCCAGCTATTACAGTTGTAAATATAAATGCCACTGATATTAGTGCAGGCGACTTCAGGTACAACACAGAACCATTTTTGGAGGTATTCAGTTCTGAACCGATTTTCAGCACAAGTATGAGTGAAGTCAATAACCAGCTCATAAGGAGCGTGGTAAAAGGGTTTCAATGTTAACAATACATGATATATAAGCAAGTCCCCATTGGTTTCACCAAACCTGAAACTGATAAAATAAGAGTGTTCGTTGTTTCATGAAACATAAATATCTTACTTGTATCTCCTAGGAATATAGTAGAATACCGGATGACCAGCTTTGCTTGTACCAGCCTGGTAAAACAGATTCAGAGCTTTGAGAGACTTGAATTCCTCCTTTTCGTGTACGTTGTGTTTCGCCATCAATTCTTCGAAATTTGATGAGGAAATGTCCAGCGAACTCCACCTTGCATATGAAGAAAACAACATGCTGTGGAGAATTCGAAATTGCTGTTCATTGTACAAAATCGAAAGTTAACGCCCCATAACACCAAACAAAAAAAGTATAACAAAAGCAGGAATTTTGAAATTTCAAGTGGAATCTTGAAATGCATTCCTTTCCAAGTGTCACAACAACAATGGAAATATTTGTCAAAAATGAAATTTTTGAATATCCACGTTTTCCATATTTAAATATCAATTATTTTATTAGCAGAGAAAAGTATTTCATTGCCGTTTTGAAAAAAGTACATTAGTTGGGACCAATTTCTAGAAAATATGATCAGAAGTTTGTTGAATTGATTCAACTTTTATTTGTCATATCATACATACACATAAATATAACAACAAATGACTTGTGGTTTTTGTACAAAACATCATATTGGCCTAACGAGGAGAACATTTTCCCAGAGAATTAGAGAACAGAGAAGTAGTTTCTTGAATGTGAAGACCAATTCCACACATGCAAACAATCTTGCATCTTGGTTGCTATAATAAACGGTTTGAGTAACAGCAGAAGTTTATCGATCATCATATAGAATACTTTGAAAAATAATGAAGCCATTTTCAATGACGAATTACCGTGTGTTTCTTACTAGTTGCAAAACTTACAGGGCTGTCATCGTACAATAATAACTGGTATGGAAATGAGGTATTTTTGAAGTTAGTGAAAAACAGATATATATGAAAAAAAACTGAGTTTACATGATTTTTGTAAGTAATAAAAGCAGTGAAATACTTATCACTAGATTGATGGATGTATCCGTTACTATGTGGTAGAAGATCATCATGAAAAATGAGAATGAGATTTTCCAGAAAAATCAATGTGGAAATAGCATTCAGGCCACATGCCAGGTTATCTGATTTCGTTTTTAATGACAAAGATAAAATGGACAAGATGGTGAAATCGGGAGTTTGTAAGCTTAAGAGTCCGGAGTGTAATAGTGTTCATGTTGGACAATGCGGTCGTAATTTCTCAAAACGGTATGCTGAACATGAAAGGTCCTTCAGACTAGGTAAAAATGATTTGATGTTTTCAAACCATTCATTGAAATGCGACCACAAGTTCCCGAATCAAAACAATCCGAAAATTACCACTATGCAGGCAAGGGTTGGAAACTCAATTATTTGAAATCCTTGGAAATTCATTTACATTAAAATTGAGGACGTAAACCACTAAATGACCTTGTATATTCGATAATTTCATATTAGCGTACCCAAATTGTCACTGTTATTACCCTACTGCAGTCGTATAGGTATATTAAGGTGAACATTGTGAATTAGTTTATTGTATTCGTTTGAAAATGTCCTTGTAGGACGAAACTACAGAAACGTCAGTTGTATAAAAACAATTTAATTTTCATTTTTTATGAAATACTTATCAATAACAGACCTACTTGTAAGTTAATGGACACCCTATCCTGAAAATGTTCAATTTAATCAGAAGTCTTAACTTTCTTTAAGTATCATGCAAAAGTCTAGAATGTCTTAAGAGAGCTTACTGAGAATCAACAGGTTTGTGTTCTGGTGGGCCCAAGTACGCCAAGAGAGTGGCCATTTTATCAAAAGGTCTCCTTCCTACAGCTTTATGGTCTCTACTACTGGAAAGATAATCTCCGATTTTTTCTTGGTGACTATACAATAAGCGATGTAATGCTAAAACATTGGCATCCGAAATAAATGACATTGAATGCGAGGTTTGGTCCACGGTTTCGCAATCTGATGCTATTTGAATGAAGAATCTTCTTCCAATTTCGAAGTGGGCACGTAAAAAATCATTAAACGGTAGCATGTGTTGTTCTTTGCTGAATTCAACATGATTGGCGATGTTTTGTAGGATCTTAGACATCAACATCAGCCCTCTTTTGATGTGAGTGGGCACTTGCTTAACAACGATACCCATTTCCTGTGGAGAAACTATGGCTGGATTTATAAAACGTAAAAATATTACTGTCCCAACTGCTCCAATATTGTTTTGAGGAAATTGCGGGAATCTCTTACTCAAAACTTGATATAAACAATGACACATAGATCTGAGCTGGGGAGGGAACTTATCTGCAGAATTGACAATGGCATCAAACACTCTCTGGGTTAAAGCTGTCAAATTCTGTCGATTTTCCTCAATGTCTTCATTCACCTCCAGTCTAGCGGGATCTACTTCAAAACTACAAGACGAGTCATCCAGCAGTGGTTGGATTAGAGGCTCCAGCAACGTTTGTAAGTAACTAGCTCCATATATTTTAAAACAAAACGCCATGATTTTGCTCCCAAGAGAATTACCACGAAAAAGGGTTTGCATGCAATCTGATATTTCAACCTCCCGGTAAAACATATTCCAAAGAAGTGGAGATAATAAATGTTTGGCATCAAATAATGTGACAAATACTCTAGCAAGTTCATCCATTTGCGAGGTGGTTACTACGTTCGCCAAAGCAACGGCTATGGGCAATTCTCCTTTATCGCTTATCATGGTAACTAGTTGTACCAACTGCTCGAAACGATCTGCCAGTACGGTCTCGGCTAAAGTGTCGAACTCCGTGCCTTGTTGTAGAATTTTAGTTAAAACCTCCATGAAGGCTGCCCTAGTTTGCAGATCTTTGTTGTAGCCCAAATCTAAAAATACACTTTATTTTAGCTTCAATATTCTAAAAAAATATATAAATAAGATATTTATCCTAAAATATAAATATTAATTAACTGATAGGCACTCCCACAAATTAACAATAAATCGTAAAAGAATTTCTAGTTCAATTGAAAGTCAAAGTATATTATATGTAAAAAAGTGGATTGAACGTTGCAGAAGAGACACATGATGTGTATAGTATAAAATATCTCAAATCAACCTTTTTGGAGAGGTGGGTATCACACTTGAAAATAGTACAAAAAATAGTAATAGGGAAATAATGACACTTCGTTTTAAAAATTGAAAAATTTATTTTCGGTAATATCTATCATCATTTATTTTGAACTAGTACCAATCTTCCTGATAATAATATTTATAAAATGAAATGACATTTTAGTATTTTACGATGTGCAAATTTTGAAAAGTGTTTGAATGGTCACTCCTATGAGAATATATTTCAAGCATCAAAAAAATGTGATTGATGATTTTACCTAGAGAGAAATTTACTATCAAATTCAGTATACTAAATTGAACAATCATTTAATAAGTAGCATTGATGAAGTTAGTGATCTGGATGTTGTTTTGGACTAATCTCTTACCTTTGTTCCTCATATGAACTCAGTAAGTAGTAAATCACGTCAGCCATTGGGATTCAATGAACATTGAACATTAAAAGTATTTTTTTAAATCACCAAAACTGTAATACTTTTCTCGATGTACATTTCACTAACCAAGTTGACGTTTTCAGGAGATAAAGAAAGTAATCATCTCCTGAATATGCCAACTTAGTTGGTGAAACGTGAATCAAGAAGAATATTGCAGTTCCAGTGATTGAAAAAGTACTTGTTTTGGATTGAAATCAAACTAGTGTTTATGAAGACTATTATGTTTGTTTAGAAAACTCTCTTTGAACTCTCTTCAATATGATTTCTATCAATTTACTGTTTGAGATTGGTCTATCGTTATCAGGAGAATTTTAATATAAACTGTTCAGATCTGTTGATGACTTTGTTATTCAGAATTCCAGTCAAATCAACTCGGGAACTTGCTTCATTTGAATTACCAAATCATACAACTAGTTATGGATGAATAGTTTTATGTTGCATAAAACTCGTGAAAACTTTTGTATTCATCAGTAAATGTAGCGGAAATTTTCGTAATGTGAATTTCAAATTTTACTCAATTGTGGTTCATACTGGTCAACAGACTTACATTTAGACGAAGTACCTAAATGCACAAACACAGCATTAAAGAAAGTTCCATGTTGGTATCTGTAATTGATAACAATATTTGTCTGCAACAAAAGCAAAACACAACCCACATAGAATGTATCTAATATACGAATTGAAATAACTGGGGAAGACAATTTTGAGAAAGTGGTAGTTGAATAACTAATTAACTGAATTTAATATTCACTTGTAGAATAAGTATTTGCAAAACATCACACCTGTCACTATTAGTTTGATAAACTACCAATTATATTCTGAAGAATGAATCTACAGAATGGCTGTCACAATCACCAGATTAGCTTTTACAGCATTATTTTAATGGGGGCATGTGAAAAGTAAAATGTCTGCAATAGGACTTTTGGCTTTGGAAGATCAACAACTCATAAATGAATGTCATGAAATTACTCCACAATTGCTCCAAAATATTCAAAAATGCATCGATTACAGTATGATATAAATGAAATATAAATATCCATAGTTACCAGTGTAGAATTTTTAATTAAACCCAAATCCCTGCAATATTTGAGCGAATATATCTCTTCTTAACTAGAGTACAAAAAATGTTCAGTGAATATTAGTTTTGGGCTTTTACCAACCAAGTTGAAATTGATGCAATTGTCAATTTCAGTAAATTAGTGAAACAAGACACAACAGGCACAAATTTATATTACTGTATTTAATGATAGAATTTTTTTTATTTACTCACTCTATATTATATTTTTTGTCACCATCCTACTGAAAAAAGCATCAGAAAAAACCGCGGATAAAACATCTCAATGATAAACTAGGCAGGGTCGGATTCAGAGAGTTGGATAAAATGCCATGTTCTATACAAATCCATCTTTCCTTCAAGTATATATTTGAATTTCTCAAGCTGAATCCTAAAGTTTATTTTGGAGTTGCTACGTCCTATCAAAAAATCAGTGGGTGGCAAATTGTCGGCTATTTTTTAAAGAAGATTAAAAGCAGCAAAAGAAAATAAAAAACTTACATATAGAGTGCATGAGTCCGCTGTCTATATTAGCTGAAAGTAGGTTGGACATAGCCTGAATAGTGGCAGTTCGCAAAGTATTCAGCTTTCCTGTATAGACTTTCTGTTTACTCAAGTCCTTCTCGAGTTCGGCAGCTTCAGAGCAATCACCTAACAAATTAATGAACAGTGTGAAGTACTTCAGAAAAAGTTGACTTTTTGCTTCCATCAAATCTCCTCTGTCCGATTCCTCAGGCTGCAAAGGTAAACCTCTCAAAAGAGCCGCTACACCTTCCATACAAGCCTGATCTAAGTCCCTCGTAATAATGGTTACATCACCAGAGCTCGGAGGCGCTATCTGATGGGAAGATCCCATTACCCAATCAGACAAATACTCTACAAGTTTATTTCTGAACTTCATTTCCTGACGAAATGACAAATCATCCCTCCTGTTCATCATTGACTCGATCAACTGGCACAATTTTGTTTTTATATGTATTGCATGAACTGTCATGTCTAGGTGTCTGACGTATCTTACAAGAGCTAGCATCATTCCCTCAATGCTAGTGATTCCCAAGTGTTCTGAAGGTTGATCATTTTTGGCACAGTCCAAAATGTTTTTCATTATAAATATTATGTGTTCGATGAATAGGGTATTAACTTCACTCACTATAACCTGGCCTTGTTGATCAAAAAATTTCTCAACAACTGCTTTTATTTGTTCAAACAGAATAGGGTATAATGCTGATGACATCTCATGACCAATCAACTCTTTCACATGTTTTTGTATTTGAGGGCCGAATTTTTCGTTGGTGCAGACAAGAAGCCTCAACAACGAATCAACAAACCTGAAATGAAATGATATTACTCACGAGACAAAAGTTAGTCAAGCCGAAATCCTTACGATGTGACAGGACAGTACTGCCTTTGATCGGGAGGATTCTGTTGGCTCTGAAGTGAACTTGATTTCTTGCTACCAGGTAAACTACTTTGTTCGCACGCTAAATTATTGCTACCTATTGAACTTATCGTCATTGTGGAAAAACTGCAGAAAGAGCTTGCGGATAGTGTAGGTCTGGACGGAGACTTTCTCTGCAGGCACACTCCACCAAGGGCACAGAGAAATCCTGTCATATTAGCCCACTCGTTTATTTGTTCCTTCTCCCCAGAAAAAGAAGACAAAATGTAAAGGTGGAAAATGGTCATCTCGTACAGGTGAAAATCAGTTTGTTTTATCAGGAATAATTTCGTCTTTATCATGCATATTAATCAGTTTCACTGTGGTGTACTGTGAGGTTTCTAGTCGGAGGAAAGGGGGAGATGCGTGAAATATCCAATTATAATTTAGTCTCTAACGGTTGTAGTTTTATATAACGGTTTAACGAACTTTATTTAGATTTCTAATAAGCTAAGAACATTAAACTGCCAAAAGATAGGTAATACGTCATCAATTGATCTCAAAATCTACGAAACTGCTGACGACTCACGTTTGTATAGCTATCTCTCTTCGATGTACTGAGTGCAAGCTTTCATCCAAACAAGAGCTCTCTCTGAATTAACGCAAACAACTATTTTCTTAAATTTTTACTATTATATGAAAGTCAGTGTTTCACCGCATTATTTATTGATGATGCATGTGATATATTTTGTTACCCCAAGTTTATGGAGACCCAAACCTAACTAGGTTAAATTGCCTCCCAGCTAATCGTTTATATTATCAATGCTTTTGTTGGCAAAACTATCATGCATCTGAGTGTCCTCGACAAGGTCTTTGGGGTCATTACTCAAGACAAGTGGTGGTCTTAGTATGGAGTTACATATATAAAGGGAACTCCTTGTTTATTGAGAGATTGGAAGAATCCGACCTCATACACAAGTCAATAAAAATATTCTCGTACAGTCAAGGGGCGTTGGAAGCTCTTGGCTCCTACCCAGCAATGTCTAAATTGGTAGCAAATTGCCAAAAACAACTCTTCTCGATAGGAAGACTTAACTCTGGATTCCTGGCTATACTGGCCCGAAAGGCAATGAGGCTGCTGCCTCCCTTGCAAAGGAGAATACTGCAAGCAGCTTCATAGGACCAGAACCTGTCATTGGCATCACTTCAGGCTTTGCCAAATAAATATTGAACACCTGGATGGCAAGAAGATTTATGGACCCTTGGCAGAATCTTCCAGGATTGGCTCACTCCAAGGCTTTCATTCACCCTTCGAAGCTCGATACTAAACAGTTTTTGAACTACAGCAGGGATGAACTACGATATCTAACAGGCCTTCTTACAGGCCATATGCAGAGATTAGGACTGTCGGAAGACAATGTCGATGGCTAAGAGGACAAATATTGTATGTCCATATTTGTCGAAAACTGAATATGTCCTGGTCTATGCCAGTCGAGATGAGATCTTTATCGTGCCCAAATATTGTACGTCCCCTTGGAACGGTTCACTAGTTACTAATGTAGCATTGAAGACATGTCCATTCACAACACCATTAACTTAGTGCACAAATGTTGTGCACAAATGTTGTATGTCAAATGCAATATTTGTGCAGTACACAAATTTCAAATCAAACGACTTTTTTATTGTATGTCCAAAGATACAATATTTGTCCACATTATTTTTAAGGCTTGTCAGTCTATAATACGTGTTGCACGCGTCTGCGTAAAGGCAGCAATGAAGTTGGTGAGTGGGGTATATAACTATCTGTGCTAATAGGAACTTGTTATTTCATGCCAGTACAACGTTGTATGTCAACGAGCTAGTTACGTACGAAATTGATTATAAATAGACGTATAGTGTTCGAAATATAAAAATAAAATGAACAACCGAGGAAAGCGAATAGTTCAACTTGCATTAACTAGTAAGTACTTGGACTAGGAACATTTTTTATCCTATAGATTATAGTGAAGAGTGTTGAATAACTACAGCACGAATATTTTCTGATTCAGATGTAGATGAGAATCAACACGATGTCGATGAGCCATTTGTCGACTCTGGAAGTGAGTACTTTCCGTCTGACCAGACGGCTTCGTCAACACATGACACAGAAATTCGAGTACTTTTGCCTGTAGTTGACAACATGGAAGGTTCAGCACAAAGAGAAAGAAAACGCAGGCTAGTTGCCAAACCGGAATTATGGAAGAAAAATAAGATGCAGTTGTTACGAGTGGCTGGCAAAGAATATGTAAACAGAAAAGGGGAAACAGTAATAGCCAAATCACCAGGTATTATTGATTGCAACAACTGTAGATTCAAATGTATCATTAACTTACCTCGGGAAAGACAAATGATAATTTGTAAAGAATATTGGGACCTTGCTGATTCAACGAAACAAAAAATTTTTATTGCCTCTTTAGTCGAAGAGAAAAAAATTGACAGAGAAAGAAATCGCAATGAAAGAAAAAAAACAGAAAACACAGTCGATATTATTATTTGTTGAATGGCTCTAATGAACGTGTAAGGGTGTGCCAAAAATATTTTTGTGCTACATTTGCATTTAGTTTTCAAGTTGTTGAAACTGCATTGAAGTATCGTGGAGACAGTGGCATTTATGTCGGCTTTGATCATCGCAAAGGAAGACCTGCTCCGAATGTAACATCCACTGAGCAAGTTTGCCACATTAAGACTCATATTGACATGTTCCCTCGAATGGCATCCCATTATTGTCGTCGTGATACTATGAGGCATTATCTATCAAGTGACTTAAATATCAGTGTGATGTATCGTTTATACTGCAACGACTATTGCCCCAAAAATAATGTGCCACCTGTTAAGTACAATGTATTTAGATCAGTATTTAATAGTTATGATCCACCCTTGTCATTTTATAAACCGAAAAAAGATCAATGTGTAACATGTAACGCTTATAGCACTGCTACAGATAAAACAGAATTACAAAGTCAGTGGGAGGCACATAAAGCTAAAGAAGAAAGTGGAATGAAAATGAAAGCAGCTGACAAACAGAAAGCAGTCGACAATAAAGGTGAAACGTTTCGAGCTATAACATTTGACTTACAGTCAATACTTAATGTGCCTTATGCTGGAGATAGCCAAATATTCTACAGACGTAAACTTTCCGTCTACAATTTTACAATTTTTGATGCTTCCAATGCAGATGGTTATTCATATCTATGGGACGAGACACACGGAAGAAAAGGATCAGTTGAAATTGGAAGCTGTTTGCTGAAATATTTGCAATCTCTACCCAATACTGTCACACATGTTTCTTCATTTTCAGACACTTGCGGTGGACAAAACCGTAACAAGTATGTGACTGCTGCTATGATCTATGCTGTTGCTAAAATTGATAATCTCCAAGTAATAGATCTAAAATATTTGGAGCCAGGGCATACGTACCTAGAAGTGGATTCGATGCATGCTACAATAGAACGTGCTCGAAAAAATAAGAAGGTTTACTCACCCCGTGAATGGGGTGTTTTGATACAAATGGCAAGGCAGAAACCTCGCCCCTACATAGTTAACCATCTCACATACTCCGATTTCTATAATTTTAAGGAGCTAGCGTCGAAAATTATGCAGAATACTATCCGTGACACCAACGGAAATCAAGTTAAATGGTTGCAAATTAAATGGTTACGCTTCACAAAGACAGATCCGTCAACCATTTCTTTCAAGTATGATGTTGCAGGTGACGATTTCTTGAAATTGAACACATGCGAAGTAGGCACAAGTAAACGAAGGAGAACACGCAAACCGTGTGAAAATGTCAACGATGTACATCTTGAGCAACAGTATAGCAGTATCTTGCCAATATCCAATGCAAAAAAACATGACCTTTTGTGCCTCTTACGCCAGAAGGTGATTCCAGAAGACTACAGAAACTTCGTGGAGACATTACCTACAGCCGTAGGGGCTACAGACATTGTTCCAAGTGATTCTGAATACGAAACAGACTAAGGTTTAATCGTGTTCAACTTTATGAATGTCTGTTCCGTTAATAAAAATTTCATTTGTACAACTAGTACTACTTTTGACCTGATTTCATGATATTTTCAGAATTGCAGTGCGGAAGCAATACCATTATATTTATGTCCATATTCTAATCCACATTTATTTCATGTCCATGGAGGGGGTTACCTTTAGTTTTTTGAAATCCCAAAATGTGATTAATATTCAACTCTAATAGAAATTTAACTGAATAAGATATAATAGGAAGATTTAAGACGAACTTTACTGTAATTTGATTACCTTCCAATGATTTACGGTGTATAACGGTTAACTCAAACTTTCAAATTGATTTTACCGAAAACATCAAATTTGGACATGCAATATTTGTCCTCTTAGCCATCGTACCATCTCTTACCATCTGACCTGAAAGACCACTCACCATATAAACTAATCGGCTTCGTTAAGAAGATGGCTTTATTTGGTTGAGTGTGAATAGGTGTGAGCCACAATAAACCCTTGCGGGTTGCAGTGGAGGGTCGAACAGACCCACTAATTTTGGACCTAACCTAACCTTGTTTATTGAGAAAATAATTCGATGAACTTTCCTCAACTACAACTCTTTGACAACAAATCAATAAATACCTTTCGATCATTCCAATTACATTTTCTGAAAAGAAGTAATATTTTGATTTTGCTGGAAGTAACTCATGACTTATAGTAAGGTACATAATTAAATGAGTAATGACCCCCGTAACTATCATGTGGAGGTAGAATAAAAATTTGGTGCTATTATATCAAGAATATAATATTATATATATTTTTTAATGAGGCTCACTATATAAATATTTACCTCTAACTCATGTTCAGAGTTTTGGTGTGAAGCTCTCCGTTTACCGACAGATCTATGAAATGGTTCAACTTGACCCTCTTCTGTTCTTGCTTTGGGATATGTTGATAAATTCTTGCATAATCCATTCCAGTTCATATAAGTTTCCTCCCAAGCAGGTTGAACACCATTCACACAATGCTCTATTTTTCTCAGAAGGGTCATGATCCTTTTCTGAAGAGCTGCTCGTCCTAATAATGATAGTAAGAATAGTAGCTATCCATGCAATCAAGCAAACAGATAAATTGATATATGAAGGTAATAATTAGGAAAAAAAATAGCGGAAATTTACAAACTAGATTCCAGTTAACACAAGAGATCTCCATAAAGAAACAGAGTTCTTCATAGAAAACTACTTTCCTGAAAGTTTGACTCTTGATAATAATCGACCTCTGAGGGGATCAAGCTTCAGAAAAAAAACATATGAGAGGTCGCCAGCACCAGCAGATTAATGGGTGTTAAGATCATTTCAACCTTTCAAATCTGCCGGCAAGGATAGTATACTTGCAGCTCTACTTTGCAACGGACTAGAAATACTTTTACCCGTTCTCTTAAAACTGTAAAGCTGATCTGGTAAGGAAATACATATCACACAGTTGGTTGGAGACAAAGGTGGGCGACAAAGAACCATAACCTAAATCGGTACAACCAATTAGCCTATAATCTGGAATACTGGACGAACATATCATATCATATCACTTTATGGGAGATCCCACTAAACAATCAACAGAATGCTTATCAAACTGGCCAATTGATGGATTAAGCACTACATAACCTTGTGAAGAAGAGAATCAATTGATTATTAAAAATAATTAGATTGTGGTGGCCTTATTTCTCGATACTAAAGGAGCATTCAAAAGAACATTATCGAAAACTATTGCTTTGGCTGAAAAGGGCATAGAACAAACATACTAGCTAGGTCTATGCAAAGCTCATAAACAGAACAGCTTCTGTGACTCTATTACGTTCAAGGTCACCAGGAGTTGTCCACAAAACAGGATACTATCCCTCCATCTGTGGTCACTTCTCATGGACAGTTTGCTTGATGTCCTCAACAGAAGAGATTTTGTTATCTTGGTAAGACCATGACAGAAAGGGTAACCTGTAGTATCTTCCAAAGACCAATGGAAGCACATGGCTATGAATCCTAGCAAAACTGTGATAGTCTTCTTCACTAGGAGAACGAAACTGAAAGATTCAACTACACTTTCCTTTAATAGTCAGGTTGTAGCAGAATTGAAATATCCAGGTATGATCCTCATTGAAAAACCTACCGGAAACATTTACTCGGAAAAGGTTCTACACAAATCTAAACTGTTCCTATAGACATGGTCAAAGAATCTGTGGAAAATCTTGGGGCTTGAAGCCCGAACAAACCCTTTGGATATATATGATAATTGTGAGACCAATGGTCACGTACAGAGCAACTGCTTGCTGACCAATAGTTTTACAGCAAAGACTCAGGCAGTCTTTAAGGTACTAGGTTTCCCTGGCTATCTCCGGCGCCATCTGACCACAACCACCTCTCCATATCTTTCGGAGAGGGCTAGTATATAACATACAGAATTGTAATTGTCAATTGCAGAAAACAGAGCATATCGGGAGACTGGTTGACATTGAAAGTCTCTGGGAATGACCTCCGATCCAATGCCTCCAACTATCAATTATGAACTGCCTTATGCAGTCCTAATCCTAAGTACAAATATATCGATCCTCCAGGACGGAGAAATACTAAAAGCAGATGACTGTTGGTTTACTGATGGATCAAAAGTCACACTCCCAGACAGAAATCTAAGCCACTTATTATTGTGTGGAGGATATGGCGAAACTCCTAATTAATAATATGCAAGCGCTTTCGACAGCTGGTCATATCAAATTGTAAAAAACTCATTGTTTAAAAGGACAATTCAACTCAATATATATTTTATTGTCTACAAAAAAGTTCTTACTGCCAAGGCATTGAAAAAAAGTAAAAAATAAAAAGTACAAAGTAGGATAATGGACAGAATAGACACAATATAATAATATAACCACAAAAACGTTAAAAACATATGAAAACAGTTCATGAAATAAAATTCCATAACTATTACGGTCAGTCATACTTAGTTAAAACTACATCTGAATAGTCAAATCTCACTGAAAACAAGTTTTTCACCTCTGTTCTAAGACTGTTATGGTCACTCATGACCCTTGTGGTCTTTGGAAGGTTACTGAACATTTTGATATAGTTAATAATTAGGATCGTTAATAATAATTGACTCAACAACTGTCTCTGGTTTGGATTCCTGGTCACATTAACCAAGAGTTGAGGAAACTGCTGATTCCCTTGCAAAAAAGAGTGCTGCAAGCGGTGAAGTTAGTTGGGAGAGATTAATATTTCGAAATTTATGTGAAAATATTTATTTACTTGTTACTAGTTAATAATATTTCTCGTGTTGAAATTTAATCGAGTCCCAGACACATTGCTGTCTGGGTAGGACCTTTCCTGTACTGACGAGAGGTAATACCTCGAAACTGCGGTCTGCAGGTGATCTACTTGAATAATTTCAGCATGGTCCTGCTGCTGTATGAACAAGAAACATCTGCGAGACTAGCCTGTGAGGAATCTTGCATAAATGTCTGTCGGATATAATTCAATATCCGGTGTGGTATTAGTTCGACAGACGTTCACCAGACCCTACTGTGTAGGTAGTTGGGAGAGATTAATACTTCAAAATATTTATTTCCTTATACGTATGTAACTCTTCTCGATAGTTTTCACTTTTGGTTTCATTATAGCAGAACCTGTTATTGGGATCATTTTAGATCTCATCAAGCAAACACTGACTACATGGACAGAAACAAGAGTTTCAGACTTCAGGCAAAGTCTACCAGGATTGGCCTATTCTAAGGCTTATTATAGATCTTCAACGAATGACAGTCCAGATTATTTAGGAAATAATTAAACAGCAGAGCACATGCTCTGTGCCTGCTCTGTCGAGTAACTCTAACTAAATGACCTGAAAAATTATCCATGAAAGAAACTAATCAGTTTCGTTTAGAGCTAGACTTATTTGGAGGAGTTTCAATTGGTGTAGGCCACAATAAACTCTCTTGGGTCGCAGTGGAGGGTCGAATAGACCCTCTCACTTTGAATGTTACCCAACCATAATCAAAAATTCTCATAATTTTTTATTGAGAAAAATCTTCTTTGGCATTCACATTCGCATATTTAAGCATTGCCTACAGAAGACAGAAAAAAACTCTTTGATGAAAACTAATGTGAAACTTTCGAATGTTTTTAACAACTCACCGTTAACGTGATCTGGAAAACATGGCCTTGTTTCTCCAGATGCTGCATAAATAAAAATATAAACTATTACATGTGGAACTTCAATAAATTTTGAAAAGACTAACCTGTTGTGAGAACATTTGAAGCCTGTGCCAATTCTTGATAAACATGATAGTTTGGGACCAAATATGTTACTGTTACTTCATCAGATCCACATCTTATTTCTGCCTCCTGACAAAGAAGTGCAAAACAGCTCATAGCTACTAAGACTGCATCCATATCAGTACTCCATAGATACATAAAAAAAACAACCTGCAAAATGAATTGACGGTTAGAATGACGTTTTGATTATATTGAATAAAGTAAACATTATCTTGAAATGAAAGTTATAATTAGAATTTTGATTTTTTAGGAATAATCGAAAACATGCAAAATACCTCAAATAGTAAAAAAAAACTTCCATGTAATGCAAACCATTACGTCCTAAACACAACTATAAGAGAAAAGTGAAAACGTGGGTTGCCTTATGTACAAATTAAAACTCATACAGATACAAGTAGAAGCTTTCATTCAACAAATAGTTTCCCAGAACTATTTTAAAATTACATATTGTTTTGCATCTTTTTATATAATTTGGAATTGAATTGAATACTCTGAGAGACATTGGTTTATTTGAATTGTAGTGAATTCTCATATTACTAAACGGTATATAAAAATCATTTTTTCTGTAGTATCAATTTTGTATTTATAACTACCGTAACATTACCACTGTTTGTGTAAACATACGAACCAGTTTCGAATACAAATAGGGATAGCAAGGTTAAAACTCTTGATGGTTTTGAAGTGGTCTCTACACGATATTCTGTTAGAAATACGTAAGAGTGTCTATGATTCGCTTTTGTGTTATGAAAACATCAGATGATGAACTAGACATTCCCCAAAACCGCACACCGTATTGGTCTTGAGTATATGAGCATCATCAGCATCAGTGGATTAGTACCTAGTTTCGTTCCCAGATTCCTAAACTGATAAGGAAAGAAACTGAGTTTGGATATCAGCGTTCGGCAATGGATTTTCCAGATAAGACAGTAATGAATATAGAAAACTTGATTTCACGTAATTGACATTCCTAGATGCCATTTCAGGACAATTTTTTTGTACATTATGAAAACGCACAGAATTAGATTTATCGATATTGATGTTCAATCTGTTGGCATTGAACCAGTCTACCAAATGAGAAAGCTTCTTACATTCCTCTGGAAAAATCTCATCAGACTAATTTATAATCATGAGAGATGAATCATTTGAATATATGGGGAATGCAGACTAGACAGGTAATTTATCCAAGTCATTAAGATAAATAATGAATAGTATGGGGCCTTGTAAAACTAGACTGTGTTGAGTAAAATATTTATTCAATTGATGTTGGGGTAGTGCCAAGGTTCAATACTGGAGCCATTGCTTTTTTTTTGTTTGATTATGTCCACTTTGTATGATCATTATATCAAGTAAAAATTGACATATCCGATACCATGTGGTTGGTCTATGAATAAATAAATTTCTTTCTTTCTTGAAAGAATAGTGACCTGTTTCTTTCAAAAATTGATGTCATTGATCACACTGACTACTTGAGCTGTAATAATTGCATAGCCACTGGTGGGATATACCACCAATTCAGCATTTATGTATGTAACTTAATAAGTATACTCCTACTCTGATTGACACAATCACTTTCCATAGAGGATGTAAAAGAATTCAGTTTCCAAAATCAAGGTTACTTGGAGATATTTTTTGGACAATGTCACGTGGAATAGATTGAAAATATTCACTAAAAGACTGTAACTTCATTAGGTTCTTCAACCAAATTATTTCCATGAATTGATGATATTTTGGGTTTTGTTGAACTTGTGGTTTTGTTAGTGAAAATATTTTTTATACTTTCTCAGATGGATTTTTTGAATGATACACTTTATTTCGAAAATAACATTTTTTTTGTTGTAGTAACAAGTTTGTCATATTTCTGTTTGAATAGTATTCTATGAATATTTCAGGAATGGGTTTTCTAGTTGCAATTAGGAGGAGTTGGTTTTGGTAATAGTGCTAGAAATTAGTTACGGTCCTGAATCAATTATATACGTTCTTACTCGATGTACTTACTTCCAATTATACTTACTTCTAATTTTATATGTGCCTGCTTGCAAATTGCTATGGAACTGCCCAAATTAGCGTATTCCTTATGTTTGGAAAGGAACGCATTTCTGCAAATCAAAATTTCTCTTAACCATTTCAGAATATCCGTGTAATTCATGATTTGGTGCTGAATCAACTTCTGGGATATTGAAAACATTACTTGGGAGCTGACATCCCAAAAAGTATTGATGGGAGCTTCGGGATTCCAAACTTCAATTTTCTCTGGATGATGGAGAACCAGTAGGGCCTCCATAGCTTCTTGAGCGACTTCTGGCATTGTCGGTTGGTGTACCAATGAAACTAGCCCGTTGATAAGCTCTAAAGTGGAACTCTGTATTTCATGACCAGCCTTTCCTTGGTTATTCAACATCAGCATAGGATCGGCATGGACTAGTCGAACCATGTACAGTAATAAATTTCTATTAGGGACTTCTTCTGTGCGGTCCTTGAATTTTCCCTGGCAATCTTTTCCTTTGAGAGTGATCTGGATCATCCTCAATGGAGTATGAGCAATATACCCCTGAGAAACTTTATTCAATGTATCTGTGAACATTGCCCTTAATTCTGAAGATTTATTATAAACCAAGTCAATTTGCGGCCACCAATGTAGCCTTGGTTGAGTGACGATTTTATATAGGGACCTCACCAATACAAAATGGTAACTAGAAGGAGAATTCAGGTTCAACAATACTTTGAGAGCCTCGTTATTGTGAGGTTTGATCCGAAACACAGAAACAAAGCAGTCGATCATCAAATCCATGTCGTGGTACATGTAATTTTGACCTCTTGAAAATGGTTTGACAGGATTGAACAAGAGACTCTGAAAATTTCATTTGCAGTGATAATCACTTCCTAAAGAATAGCTCTACAGAAATCACCCCAATGTTTTAGGAGCAAGAAATTGTTATACATTCACATAATTTTTTATTATTCCAGTTGAAATACAAGAGTCATCTAGCATTAATAGTTATTTGAGCAGAGCTACCCTCAGCTAAATGACTTACCTTTAAATCATTGATGATACTCTGGACAAGAACAAAAGCAACGTTATTGGAATCGAGGATATTGATGTATGTAGATGCTTTACATAGTTTAACACAAGTTACAGCTGCTGCCTCTGTCAGTTGTTTACTATTTCCATGTGGTCCCAGACACCTTTTAATATTATCTATGAACATTTTCTTTTTGTTATGTCTTGGCGAACAAGGTGCCCCCGAATCAGCATTGACTATTTCTTCTAGAACATTCTATGAAAACAAATAATTTCAATGAAAAACTCGTTCATAGCTAAATATAGGATAAAGAAAATAACTTTTGTCTGATTTTTGTTTGTTACAACCGGTTTCGGTTTGTTAGACCATTCTCAAGTGATTTGAGAATGGTTTAATTTCATATTATAGGTATGTACAATGTATTATTATATGAAATGTCTAGAAAAATTGGGTATCAGATTTCAGTTTGCCTGATTTTCACATCGAAATATTGCATCAAGTGAGTTCACACATTTTTCTAGTTGAAAAATTAAAGTGAGAAGTGGAGTCAGAATATTATAAAGTAAATATTTGATTATTTGGGATAAAGAACGATTTTATGACACTCCTGATTTCTCCAGATGTTTCAACAAATTTTTTATTCATCATTATTTTACAGTAGCTCAGGAATGAGACTTTTTTCATTTTTGATGATTGGCATTCATTTTTTCAAATGTATGGAAAATGCTTCAACCTTATGGACTGTATTTGTCTTCATATCTGTTCATGACATCCATTCCAAAAATTTTGTTACCTGTAGTAGTCTTTACAGGTCGTTTGTTGAAGGTTTGATATATTCATCTATAGAATAAAATACTTCATCACCACAGACAATTATTTTCTATATTCAGATGAACGAAGTATGAGAAAAAATAACATCTGTGTTACAGTAATCCTGCAAGCGTAAAAATAAGTGATATTCATTTAAAATTGATGTGGTTTCATTATGATGAAGCAAAAAAGTACAGATTTGTGCCCCGTGGAACACCAACCAACATTAAATGGTTTGAAAGAGACTGTGCTTTTTCGGGTATTACTTATTCTGGATATTAATTGCTATCTCTACTGGGGATAGGAAAAAATCCAATCCCATTTCGTTCTTTATTTGCTGAAATTATTCAATTACATTTGATGAACTTCATTGATAATGAAAATCAATTCCCAATAGTTTTTCTTCTTGGCAAAAAGATCTATTTTAGTTATCTACTATGACATTTTTTTTTCTTTGTATATGACACTTTTGCAATTTTCAACATTCTATGTGTCTATTTTTTAAGCCTGATTAATGTTATCAAATATTTCAAGCTTTTCCGTTCATAAATTATAAAAGTATTCAAAATGTTATTATTAGCGAACTCAAAAGTAAGTTATTTGTAGTATAAATAATTCCAATGTTAATATTGTAATACATGAACTATAAAAACCTACAGGTGCCAATATTAACAGCATCATTTGTAAAGACCAAACAGAAGAACGTCCTTTTTTGTTATCTCCAAAAGCATCCAGAATATCAAACAGTTGTTCAGCACACTTTGACATTTCCTCATTGGGATTTTTTTGCAGCTCGGCAAACTCATATGGATATGTCTCCATCCAGTTCCACACAGCCTTCTCCAACGAGTTTACTAAAACAAGATGAGCTGATTTTTTCAGTAGTCTGAATTTTGAAATGGCTTCTTGAAATAATTTCGTAAGTCTTCCTAAATCAACATTTATGTGTTGTATCAGCTCAATATCACTGAAATCTGGATTTTCATCTGGACATGAAGCTAATTCTTGCAATTTCGAGGAAATTCGGTTGAAAACTGCATTGAAAAAATTCACACTTAAGGCAAAGAGAACTTTGCTTGACAATAATCTAATTGCATGTACACTTGGATGATCAAGGGGCATATCTGAAAATAATCTAATTATTTCCAAAGTACGGAAAATAAATATATTGATTCTCACCTTTTCCAACTAGAAAAGCACATATTTCTTTAAGTAATGACTTCAAGTTTTGATTTTCTTCCATTGTAAGTGTAATAGAGTCTTTAGGTTGTATGCTGAAACATTTTTCCAATGTTTCCAAAACAATTATTAGACTATCGTAATAATTCTTTTCCAATTCTGGGCCATGTTGACGGGATACAGCAAATGCACCCATTTGATACTGAAAATAATAACAGAATATATTTTTCTGTGAAAAACTAGAAACGGAATTGAAATAGTTCATTTAAAAATCTACGTAATACATGTGCCAATGCCATAGGGTATAACAAGACATATACAAAAATTGAAATATTCTCTCAGAATTCACTGGACAAACTCATACGGCAGATGAACAATGAGCTAGGTCATTTATGTCTGGAAATGAGTGTTTTTGGATATACAGGGTGTTTAACTTGCAAAATGACCACTTGATATTCAATACTCTATTTTTGCAATTTTCTTATTCAATTTCGCATGGAAAAACATGGGAATTCAAATAAACAATCAAAATAATGTAATTTACAAAGTATTTTATTTTTTTAATATTTAAAACACCCATTTTTACAAATAACCATTGAAAATTCGCTTTGGAATAATAAATAAAACAACAGATGGACCATAAATAAAGTAACTGCTAAACATTTTTACCATTATGATCTATAATCAATCTACAATGATATAAAAATAAATTCAAATTCTCATCAATAGTTATTAATCCAGCGTGAATGTGGATGACTAATTCTTATTTATTCTTTGATTCTGTTTCATATGACCCCTGAGCAAATAGTTTACAGGATTCAAATCTGGTGACCTAGTGGGCCATTTATGAAGATCACATCGACCAATCCAGTTGTTTCCAAATATCTGATTCAAGCATTATTTTAGCAGTCAGTGAAAAATGAAAAGAAGCACCACTGAAACAATGTTCCAATACAAATATTCAATCAAAGAAAGATTTTCCTCTGACCAAAAGATTGAATGTTTTGGAATGCTTAGAAATCAAAATATTGAAAAATTCAAAATTGAATAGAAAAATTTTCCTCCTCCCAAACAAGCACTTCTCCCAAACACCAGAACTGCAATTCTCTTCTCGACACACATTTCAACAACCAAGTTGGCGTCTTTAGCAGATGAATTTTCCTCCTGTTGAATTTGTTTTGTTAATGACGACATTGGTAATTATTGAAGATTTAAGTAAGAGGTCTCAGGGAGTTTTCGTTTATTAAATGTCCAACTTTATGAGTTTGTACTTAGGATGAATATAATTATTAGCTATCCGGGAAGCTACTGTATACTGAAAAACATGTCACATTTTGTAAAACTTTCAAGTGAAAATATGTTATCATGGATATCAAGTATCAGCCAATTCTACCACATAATAAAAGTATGAATCAATGACTTTTCTTTGCTTCCATAGTAATTTATTATATAATGCAACATTTGAGGTGTAAGGAAGTTCATGAGACCAAATCTGGAAAAAATGTCCACAGGATACTAGAAAACTCACTATGTGATGCTAAAGAGAACGATTTTTTGAAACTCTAAATGTAATTGTCTTTTTGTATCTAGTATGTAAATTTGCTTATTACTTCGGACTAGTCCGATAAGTGCATTTTGTATTTTTTTTACATCATATATAATATTTAGCGATGAATAAGTGAATATCTATCTTACATCTATCTTACATCCAATACTTACAAGTTCATGTATTCTTTTGAGAACTTTGACAAATCCATCAAGTACAAGTGCAAACCTGTACCTTGATATCTGTATAATACAGTTTTTGTTTTGTTCTTCATTGATACTAGAATGAGTTGTTTGAGGACCAATTCGACAGGGTAACTGAAATGAGATGCATCAAAAAAGTTAAACAATTCAAAATTGCTGATAAGGAATGATTGGCCATCACATAAATATTGATTGGAAAGTGGGCAGTTTGAATAAGTAACTATATCACCAATCAAAAAGGATTTTCCAAATACCAACCTGTTCCTCAAAACGAACAATTAAAGTGTTAGCCCATTCTCCAGGCTTCTGAGTTGCCATTTCAGAAAAACTAGTTAAATTTCACATTATTATTAAGTCTCTTACTTAGCATGACATTTTCTCCATGTTGTAGTTTGACACTTGATAGAAATTCCATTAGACACATTCGGTTCCCAACAGCGTTGTCATTTTCATACATTTCTGTCCTTTCTTTTTATCGAACGATAAACGGAAATAAAAAATAATCTCAATGTAGTGAGTAGTAGTAATTTAGAGAAATCTCTATATGTTCTTAATTTTTATTTTCTTCGCAATCCCATACTAATTTTTATGACATTTTTGTAAAATTATATTTTTGTAACTAATATTTATTTTCATTTCACGTGACCTAATTTTGATAATAAAAATTTTCGCACGTTTTTTCGCTTTGAGTGTGAATAAAATACTATGCGAAAAGTATACATCTTATTCTGCACTCATCGCATTCGAACTTCGTAAATGTATTCACAGACAAATACTTATTCGTGGATAAACTAATGGATGTATCTGTTACTACGTGGTAGCAGATCATCATAAAAAGCTTACGATTCACTCGTGTTGTTTTCACTTATTTGTGGAAACACAAATAATGAATTGTAGGTTTGTTATGTAACCTTAGTATTGAAAATGTTTCACTGAAAATAATTCGAGCTCAAATAATTTGAAATGACGAAAAGACTAATCGTTGAATTCAGAAGTCACCAACAGAATTTTTAATTTTTTTCAAAAAGTAATGAAAAACTCCAATTGAGAAGTGTTTCTCATGGTGTTAAAAAAACTAGAAAGATTGTATGGGTACATTTCATAGCTATAGCCATTTATCGATCTTTATTATTTACTTAACTTTGAGCACACAATATTTGTTTGCTGCGAGAACTTTCAACTCTTTCATGGATCAAAACTGTTGTCTGTAATATTTTGATATTGTGATTTATGTCAATGTCTATATTATTTTTTGAGAATGTGGAATTACAGAACTCGATTCCAGAAAAGTATTGGTTGAGTATATACGTATTCAGCAAACAACAAGAAAATATAACTGCAAATATTAACTTCTCAAGATGGAAATAACAAATAACCAGAAGAATAGAGAAATCTTTCAGTTTCAGTAAAATGGCGTAGGGTTTCATCATTTGTTTGAAAATTAAAAATAGGTTCGGTTTCAGTTTCAGTCCTCAAAAAAATGTCGGTTCTGTCTTCTATAGTCTTTGCATGGGTAGCACCTCTACCTCGACTTTGTAACCGCCATATTTCAACTAATCTATTAAAAATATCTATCCTATACCAGAACAAAATATTATCTCTCGATGCGCGTTTCGATAACCAAGTTGTCATGATCTCCTGATGATGACAACGAAACGCGCGGATGAAATTTTATCCTGTAGTTTTTGAATTTACCATGCCCAGACAAATAAACGGGGTGAAGGGACTTTCATAATATGCAGTGATGAAGAGTACTGGAGATAAAATGGATCACCATGTGAGATTTGATGGATCGTTACTTCCCTCAGTTTCAGCTCCGTCATTGTAACACAAAAATAGTGAATTAAGATATTATCATAGAATGAACAATATCGATTTCACGTGCACTAGATATAAATATAATATGTCCAACATGCCAAATCATTTCATGAAAGTAATACAATTTTAAATTTTTTAAATCCCAATCACGGTAATAGCACATAACCTTACACAATACACTCATTTGGCGGCACAATCATCTTGAGGGATCAAGTTTCTGTGATCTACATTCTATGCTGGATGTGTTTGATTTCATTTATTAGCAGTAAATTTGAGTTATTTGAAACTCATCAGAGATATATAAGGACATTATTTGAAATTTAATTTCTGTCACACAGTATCTAATCTTGAAAGGCTAACACAAAACTGATGAACTTGTTACTTTTGAAGGTATAGCAGTCATTTTTCTCATTTTTCACAAGTTCTTCACACGTTTCTTGTTCTCCACTGCAATTCTTGAACAAATTTATGTAATTAGGTTTCGATAATTAGTTATCACTACCAGCTTGAAGTAAGTGAAATTTATTGTTATTCTTATTAATAAATATTTAATACAGACGATCCATCCTAGGTTTCGTGCCACAGAATTATGTATTCCAGCCGGCAGATGAATAATTTTTGACGGGAATGACTCATAGTACCAACAGAACGCACCCAGCTGCTGATCCATCCCAAGTATCGTGCCACAGAATCCTGTAATCCAGCCAGCAGAGGAATAATTTTTGGCGGAAATGAATCATAGTGTCAGCAAAACGCACCCAGCTGTTGATCCATCCCATGTTTCGTGCCACAGAATTCTGTGATCCAGCCAGCAGAAGAATAATTTTTGGCGGGAATGACTCATAGTGCCAACAAAACGCACCTAGTGACGTATTATGTGATGTCATTTCCTTTTCCTTTCAGTATTTATGGTCTATGGAGAAAACTTTCATCTTCCATGCTCCATTTTAATTCACTTGTTGGTTAGCTTGTGAGTGGTGTTGTGGTTGAGACATCACCCCATGTGAAAAGTGAAATAAATAACTTAAAAATACAAAAAAATATAAAAAATCATTGAAAACACAAAAAAATCGAAAAACATTTGAAAACAAGGAAAATAGCTAACGATATTTTTTATATTCATGTTCCTTGCATCTGTGTAGTTGTAGTGGCTCGACTGAAAAATGAATCCTGCTGCCGCGAATTATCCCATGGCGTCTCTGTACGTCGGGGATTTACATTCTGATATTACCGAAGCTATGCTTTTCGAAAAATTTTCCACCACTGGACCTGTGCTCTCAATTCGCGTCTGCAGAGACTTGGTTACACGGCGGTCTTTAGGTTATGCCTATGTGAATTTCCAACAGCCTGCAGATGGTAAGTGTTTTCATGTATATGCCCTAATTATTGTATCCATATGGAGACTAAAATATCACTCAATTAACATGTGTCCCTACCCTAATATAATTTACAGTTATATTGGCGGGGAACCTGAGGATAAATTCATAAGCCAATCTTCAATTGAATCCAAAATCAGAATAATGAATATCTATGTGCAAGAGCCCAAAGTTTTTGGTTAAAACAAATGGAAAACATAAATTCTTACCAACTTTGAGCATATACATTTTATAAAGTGGCTAGCTGACCCAGCAGAATTTCTTTCATGCAAATTATTTTCTAGGGTATCGAATTTAATGCTGAATAAAAAATGAAACTAAACGAAATTTTCGTGAAATTTTATGGGTAGAAAAATAATTTCAAAGCAAATACTTTTATATGAACACTGAATTATACCAAAAACACTTTCACTCAGTTTGTTTTTCCAAACGTTCGTTATGGAATTGAATCTGGTATCATTCTCAGGATTGCTACAAAAGGGGTAAAATTTCACTCGCTTGGATCACTGTCATCCTCACTGGTGGACATCCGATGTTTCGGCATGACACTAATGTAAAATGTGGAAGGTTCAATAATTAAAAAAAAAATCTATTACTGAAATATCAATTTCAGACCACTCGTATCTCGTTCCTTCCATTTTTTGGTCAAATTTGATAAGTGGAATTGATTTTTGGCTAATCTGCACCATTTCTATAAAGCTACCCAGATATTTTTACCACAATAGTAGGAAACCGATATTACATTTTGAGAAGAATTTAAGGTTCCTCTTCATCCTCTCAGAACTAGGGGAAGATTCCAATCTCCTGTGCAATCGTATGGATTGGTGAATTTTCTAAAATCTTTTTCACCACCATTTTCATGATTCATTTAAATTCAATTCTCTAGGTTTGATGCCATTTTTACTTTCATTATTTTGAAGCACATGCAAAAAATATTTTAACAAATGAAAAATTTTTGTACTCTATACCCTCCTAGACACTCATTTCATTCCAATTTTGTTTACTTGCTATGTTGTGACCTTGCACTATGTCGTTTCAGCTGAGCGTGCCTTGGACACCATGAACTTTGATTTGGTCAGGGGTCGGCCAATTCGTATTATGTGGTCCCAGAGAGATCCCTCTTTGAGGAAGTCAGGTGTTGGCAATGTTTTCATCAAAAACCTGGATCGTTCTATTGACAACAAAGCTATGTATGATACTTTCTCAGCTTTTGGAAGTATTCTCAGCTGCAAAGTAGCTCAAGATGAAACTGGCCAAAGTAAAGGTTACGGTTTTGTCCATTTTGAAACCGAAGAAGCTGCCAACAAGTCCATTGAAAAGGTCAATGGTATGTTGCTGAACGGTAAAAAAGTCTACGTGGGCCGCTTCATTCCACGCAAAGAAAGAGAAAAGGAATTGGGAGAGAGAGCCAAACTGTACACTAATGTTTATGTTAAAAACTTCGGTGAAGATTTGTCTGAACAAGAGCTTCGAAACATGTTCGAGAAATTTGGAAAGATAACCAGTTACAAGATCATGAGTAGAGATGATGGACAGTCTAAAGGATTTGGATTTGTTGCATTTGAAAATCCTGAAGATGCTGAAGCTGCAGTGGAAGCCTTGAGTGGTAAGACAAATTGATCAATTTTATCAGGGTTAGAATGTATTTATTGTGCTTTGTAATAGGTCTGAACAATCGGACATTGATCTACTTAATATTACTGGAGTTTAGTCCTAACACCAAACCGTTATTTTTAACACCTTGACACGTGCTTCAACCACTGAGTGATCAATCTTCCTGTTGAAGATGATCTCTTAGTGATTGAAACATGTGTCGATGTGCTAAAAATAACAGTTTGGTGTTAGGACTAAACTCCAGTAATATTCATTACTACACCAAAGGTTCCAATCAGTGCATCACATGGATATGTTTTTAAAAAATCAGTTTTTTCATTAACAAACTGTCTCACACCTACGAATAACAACCCATAGAAGTCGAAACTTGTGCGAGCTAAAGACTAACGAGGTCTTGCCTTTTAACGTGTGATTCCTAACACGGGTTGGACAGTAGCAGGTGAAAATCAATCGTTCAAAGAAAGCACACACGTCGAACAGACCGGCTTCCGACCGACCGACCTACTTGTAAAGATGTTGCATTAAATTGATTTGTTAGTAGTTTATTAAGGCCAATTATCTTCATTGCAGAAACCTGATGTTCAATTACTTTTTTCCTGTACAGACAAATATATCGATTTCTTTGCCAAAACACATGCACAGAATAATAATAAAAAAACAATATTTTCATTCAAGTTGACCATTCTTTTTTTCATTCTTACTTTCATTTTTTTTGTATTTAAGAACAGGGTTTTTCATCTGCTGAAAACTGGTTAATGGAAAAACATTTAAACAAGAGATAATAATATAGTCTATGTTGGTACAATTGGTAGTTGGTGACATAGTGGGTTGATTAGAATGAAGAAGTTCATTCTTTCAAAATAATTTGTTTTTTTTGTTATCTACTCCCAACAAAGTGGCAAACTCATCTGTTGGAGCAGCAACAAATAAAGTCAATGTATTCTGCACTGTTTTGCTTGTTGCATTTAACTTGTAGTTATTAATGAATGGATTGCAACTCATTTTTTTACCGAATTCTTTTCTCTACATCAAAATGAAAATAATGTTTTTTTTGGCTTTCATGCTATTCTGATGCACATCAATTGTGTTGAAGTTTTTGTTCTAGTTTTTTTTATTCTCCCATACTTGAAGGTTTTTCAATTTCATTTCTTTTTGTGAATCCTCAGATGTTTAGGGATCTTTGATCATTTCTTTTAATTCTGTCACAAGTTGTTCATGATAAGAGTATATTGTAAATTAAGTGTATAAATACTTAGTCTAACATTGAGAAATAATGAGTGGTCAATCAATCAATAACTTCAATAACAAANAAGATAACTTAGTGGATCTGGAAAAATTGTAAAAATACATTTATGGAACCATATTATGTGCCATTTTTTCTGCAATTGTCATTTTTTCCATCTTAACTTATTTTTTTCAGGAAAGGAAATTTTAGATGGCAAACCTTTATATGTTGGACGTGCTCAGAAGAAAGCTGAGCGTCAACAGGAGTTGAAACGCCGCTTCGAGGCATTAAAAATGGAAAGATTAAACCGTTATCAAGGTGTCAATTTGTATGTTAAAAACTTGGATGATACTATTGATGATGATCGTCTTCGTAAAGAATTTACACCTTTCGGGACAATCACATCCGCCAAAGTGATGGTGGAAGAGGGTCGAAGCAAGGGCTTCGGTTTCGTCTGCTTTTCTTCACCAGAAGAAGCCACCAAGGCTGTCACTGAAATGAATGGCAGAATTGTAGGGACCAAACCTTTATATGTAGCATTAGCACAGCGAAAAGAAGACCGTAAGGCTCATTTAACATCCCAATATATGCAGCGTGTGGCCAATATGCGTATGCAACAGATGGGACAATTTATGCAGCCAGGAACTTCAAATGGTTACTTCGTATCCGCCATTCAGGCCTCCCAACGTTTCTACGGGCCTGCTCAAATGACACAGATTCGTACAAGTCCAAGATGGCCTTCCCAAACGCCCATGAGACATGCTGGTCAGGGAGGTGCTGCTGTCTTTTCAGGCATACCCAACGTATACAGAGCTGGATCTAGACCTCAAAATCAATCCTCTTCCGTACGAGGAAATATTGGCGTGCCTAGACCCATCACAGGACAAACACAACCTGTTCAGGGACGCCCATTGTCTGGACAAGGTAATATTTAGATAGATGGAGAGATTGTTTTTGTTTCCTTTGTACATATCAAATAAGGGAGTTGAATATACGGTACATGGTGTTCAAACAACGGGGTTGAATAAATAATTTTTGGGGCCCATATGTTTTTTTCAGAAATTATATTTTCGTGTACCGAGATCAAATCATTGAGTTTTATTACAACAAAAAATGTTTCATTTGTGATTTTCTTCAACAGGTTACAGAGCGACCTGGAATAGTCATAAAAATTAAGTAAAAAGTCAGGGAATCATGTTACTATTACTCAAAAGTCGTGGAATTTTCACCCATTCCTGTAAATTTCAAATTTTTCAATATTTATATTCATTATATCAGTACTCATATCGATAATACTTGATTATGTAACGTACTGCGATTTACTTTTATATTCCTAGTTCACAACTCTTGGAAATTACTTTTATTCATCTCCTGAAGATGCCAACTTGGTTAGTCAAACACGCTTAGAGAAGATAAATCAGAAATCAAGTAAATCTTCATGACTGTGTTGAGGAAAAGACATATGTAATAAGAAATTCTTTTGAAATTTTTCACTTCTCCCACTATTCTTACACAGTAGGATCTTGCAAATACCTGGTAGAAATCAAATTTTTTCCTGGCTAATGCCAGCATGAACTCGATGAAATTGATCAGTGGAGTACCAGATGGTACTGTTGTCTTGGTTATATGTGTGCTGGGCCAATGAGAAATAATACTTTGAAACCAGTAGATGATCACTGATCCTGCTGCCAAGCAAATTGAATAAATCTACAAGAATTTCTTTCATGAGGCAACTTGCACAGATGAATTGAATCGCAATGGATAGTTGATAATCATTTGATTTTTGGAAATAAATGCACTTTGTTGAGGAATATTTCATGAATTTCAGGTGTTGTAACTCCTACCGGAAGTCGACCTAGCTACAAATACACAGCCAACATGAGAAATCCACCACAAGCTGTACCTTTGCAAGATGCACCTGCTCCTGTTCAACAGGCTGTCCATATTCAAGGTCAAGAACCACTGACCTCAACCATGTTGGCCTCAGCTCCTCCACAGGAGCAGAAGCAGATGTTGGGCGAAAGATTGTTCCCTCTTATCCAGCGCATGTATCCTGATATGGCTGGAAAGATCACTGGAATGTTGTTGGAAATCGACAACACCGAATTGTTGCATATGTTGGAACACAACGAATCCCTCAAGAACAAGGTTGAGGAAGCTGTTGCTGTTCTTCAGGCTCATCAGGCCAAGCAGGCTGCCACTCAAATCAAGAAAGAGTGAATAAGAACGAGCCTTGATCATCTTTGGATAGGATTGTTGAATTACTGCAGTTGGATGTCGTTATATTTTCCATTTTGTAGCTGTACGGATAATTTCAGTTGAGAGCAGAGAGCTTTCAAAGTCGCTTGGTGTCTGAGAATATTGTCTCAGATTCATGTGTGAAGTTGGTTTTTGCCAATCTTTCCACACACTGGCATAGATTTCCACTCGAAATATGGTCGCATATTCAGGAATATTTATATCTATGCCCTGGGTACGTGACTGTATACACCTGCACAAGAACCTCAATGGTTTTTGATCCATCGGTGAACCAACAACTATCTGCTCTTAGCAGGTGACTTAGCTGTGACTTTTCCTGGGTTATGCTTAGTTATTTGTTGTAGTGTCATCACGGCATTGTGTTGCTTGTGATCTCCCCAATTGCGCCTGGAAGCAAAGGCCTATAACATCTAGCCTATAATATCTAGTGCTGTATTTAACTTTGTTTATTAACGCAAATGAATACAATTATTTGATTGCCTCTTATTCGAATAAAACACAAAACACACTACAAACATGACAGAAAAAGAGAGTGGCATTACTCACCTTTTCATAAACAACATATAAATTTGACTTCACATTCACATGTATTAATTACATATGTATCACTGAAAATTTCATGTTTGTATTATATTTACATGTTAAATATCAAAATTAATGTTTGTACATTCACAGATACTTCCAATTGAATTTGATTCACTTTTTATTTTTATTTATGACAGCATAATATAACTCCATATTGCTTTATTGTGGTTTGTTAATAAAGTACAGTATTGATTGATTGAGTTTAATTTTGTAATATTCAATACTGAAACGAGTTCCTGAAATAGTTGATTTTTCAAAAGTTTCCACTATTGAGTGGAAATGCGGGGAAACTT